AATGTGTCCATGATCCACTCACACTTACACATTTATATGTCAAGTGAACACTGACATTTTGCTTAAAACCCTTCTTTAGCATATATATTAACCAGTTCATTTCATAATGAACATGTGTACTTAGAGCTTCAAGTTTATGTGACGACAAACTACCCTTAACCAAAACTTTTAACTACCTTTAACAAAAACTGTAACCTGATGATATGAGTTAAACCGAAGGACTAATGCACAGACCGAAAAACATAATGCCCCACTACAATAAAAATTAGAATTATCTTATCCTTGATATGTTTTTTTCATGGACTTTACACCATTCAATCAGTACAATCTTTAGAAATATTTCAGCAGTTTGTTGGCATATCATATCAAATCTATGAATATGTTTTTATCAATTTAAATTATTTTGTTAGTGGTTGAAGATCAAAAGAACATATATTTATATGACTAATTCATCTGATCATCTTGTTTTTTTATTATCTTAACAATTTTGAGTCGTCAATCTGTGATCGATATTGAACATTCAAAACATCAGTTAAACGTCTATGAATCATGATCATAAGATGTTTAAAAGACAGTGATTACTTTTCAAAATACTATCAAAATACAATACATAATACAGAAACAGATAATCTATAATATTGGTTTTCATTCTGTAACTAATAAAATGTACATTACATTGTCACAATTAAAACTTACATTGTCATTTAGAAATTAATATAATTACTGAAAACACTAAAAGCATTTATCACAGAATAAACAGGGTTGAGGAATAAAACATTTCAAATTTTACAATCTGCATAAAACCTCTAAAATCTAAAGGACATAATGATTGAAAGACAATGACTAAAGACACCATTTCTATTATAAACGGAAAAAAATTATAATGAAGCAACAAAGCTAGGTTTAAGACAGCATTTTTCACCTTATATATGGTATTAAAATACTAGCGAACAACCTGACTTTTCCAATTTTCCAAACACATACAAAATTTTTGTGCAAGTATAATACTTCTAGGAATCATACCAAATTTTCCCCTTAAATAAAAATATGGATTTTTTGCAAACAGTTCCACATCAACTCTGGGCTTTGTATTCAAAATTCAAATGCTTTTACATAATGTCCTAATCAATGGTGTCTATATAATCATTTTTTGTTTTCAATCAAGAGTATTATCAAGACCTGCCAACCTTCACGATTTATGGGGGATTTCCCCCTCGAGAGGTGTTGACCTGAATTTTGAAAATCTTAATTATATAAACTGAACACCGCAAAACAGGCATTCAAATGAGTTAAAAGGGTATACATCCACATGCATATGCATTCAAACAATACAGTAGTAGATTAAGAACACTTATGACAATATAAGAGGACCAAATGGACCTCTTGCACTTAAAATCCCCAGTGGAGATTTTGAAAAGTTGGCAGGTATGAATTTATTAATCTAGCATTATAAAATCTGACACATTTACTTTTTTTCTGTATAATTTTCATTTTAACATAGAATTAACTTCATATCAAATAAAAAATCTAAAAAAATGTCATATAGTACCCAGGTTAATTCAAAAAGTAATTATCAATAAAAAAATGAATTTCTGTGGAATAAAAGTGTACAGGCATGTCCTTTTTTACCAAGCAGTACTAAAATAAATAAATGAAGTGAACAAGATTATACACTTTCAAAATCAATGGTTTTGCATAATAAAATATAAACTTATTTCTTTTTAAAATGTCTACTTTTGTTTTTAAATGAAGTAGTAACTGCTTTCATCGTTTCCTCTTACTGGTTGCACCATGGCTGTCAGTCTGGTCTTTGAATAATGTATATGTACGATAATGTCAAGGAAAACATGTAAAAATAAAAACAATATTTGACGGTTCACGTTCTTACATCTATATATATTGCATCTTACGTATATTGTACATACGTATTATTAACATAAGTATTAAACTTTAAAGTCAGCTGTTTGATATGAAACAGATGTTCTGATGAATTACTCTCATGATTATGACACAAGAACAATAAGTACAATACTCATTTGCTCCTTTAAATTGTTCAGTAAAAATTCTAGCAAACTATCCCTCCCTTGTACTATATTTATTTATCTTATAATCTAATAAAAGTGCATTAGGTAAAACAACATATAATACATAAGGACAACAGGAAGCATAAAAATCACTGGACAGTACACAAGGACAACAGGAAGCATAAAAATCACTGGACAGTACACAAGGACAACAGGAAGCATAAAAATCACTGGACAGTACACAAGGACAACAGGAAGCATAAAAATCACTGGACAGTACACAAGGACAACAGGAAGCATAAAAATCACTGGACAGTACACAAGGACAACAGGAAGCATAAAAATCACTGGACAGTACACAAGGACAACAGGAAGCATAAAAATCACTGGACAGTACATAAGGACAACAGGAAGCATAAAAATCACTGGACAGTACACAAGGACAACAGGAAGCATAAAAATCACTGGACAGTACATAAGGACAACAGGAAGCATAAAAATCACTGGACAGTACACAAGGACAACAGGAAGCATAAAAATCACTGGACAGTACACAAGGACAACAGGAAGCATAAAAATCACTGGACAGTACACAAGGACAACAGGAAGCATAAAAATCACTGGACAGTACACAAGGACAACAGGAAGCATAAAAATCACTGGACAGTACACATGGACAACAGGAAGCATAAAAATCACTGGACAGTACATAAGGACAACAGGAAGCATAAAAATCACATACAGTACATAAGACCACACCAGCCATCAACAGCCAACTCCACCGACAAATAGACATACAAACAAAGACAGAATAACAACAACCAACACAAGGAATCATACAAAACACTGAACAGTACATAAGACCACACCAGCCATCAACAGCCAACTCCACCAACAAATAGACATACAAACAAAGAGAGAATAACAACAACCAACACATGGAATCATACAAAACACTGAACAGTACATGAGACCACATCAGCCATCAACAGCTGACTCAACCGACAAATAGACATACAAACAAAGACAGAATAACAACAACCAACACATGGAATCATACAAAACACTGAACAGTACATGAGACCACATCAGCCATCAACAGCTGACTCAACCGACAAATAGACATACAAACAAAGACAGAATAACAACAACCAACACAAGGAATCATACAAAACACTGGACAGTACATAAGACCACATCAGCCATCAACAGCTGACTCCACCAACAAATAGACATAGAAACAAAGACATAATAACAACAACCAACACAAGGAATCATACAAAACACTGGACAGTACATAAGACCACATCAGCCATCAACAGCTGACTCCACCGACAAATAGACATAGAAACAAAGACAGAATAACAACAACCAACACAAGGAATCATACAAAACACTGGACAGTACATAAGACCACATCAGCCATCAACAGCTGACTCCACCGACAAATAGACATACAAACAAAGACAGAATAACAACAACCAACACAAGGAATCATACAAAACACTGGACAGTACATAAGACCACATCAGCCATCAACAGCTGACTCCACCGACAAATAGACATACTACAAAGACAGAATAACAACAACCAACACAAGGAATCATACAAAACACTGGACAGTACATAAGACCACATCAGCTGACTCCACCGACAAATAGACATACAAATAAAGGCAGAATAACAACAACCAACATGAGGTCCAGATAGCCTGACTTGGTACAGGCACAAAATGGGGTGGAGTTAAAACTTTAATGTGTGCAAAAAACATTCCCCTTTTCCTATCGATGCAAAAAGATGTAATCACACATTATAAGACCTTTGAGAAGAATGAAATGAAGTTAAAGCAACAATGTGTGTTCATAGGATACTATAGACTGCTCACAATATCATTTTACCTTGTTGAGTGAACTGCAAAATCTGGGTAAATACCTTAATTTAGCTTTATCTAAAAGAAATTCACACATAATAAACATGTGTACTAAGTTTCAAGTAATGTGACCACATGGTAAACTACCTTATACAAAAACATTAATCTGATACAGGGCAGACTAATGGATTTGACTTGCACAGGCAGGATAACATGACCCCTACTATTGAAGGCAGGGCATCAAAATTGTATCAAAGCCTTCAAACCATACATATGGGTCATGTGACATTCAAATTAGGGCTTAAGACCATTCACGCCAATATGCATTTGTAAACAACTTTATGTTGCTGTATGTTTATATGTATCAGTTTCTGAGAAAAAGCTTCCAACTCAGCTGGCAATATTTTCTTTTCTAGTATTTTAACAATATTTATTGAGCAAATTGTTCAGGACAAACTTGAATTATTGAGCAGTAATAGTTTCTTATTTTGATGATTAAAGTCTAATAACTTTGGAACTGAACAACAAAAGTGAAAATCTGTAAATAGTTTACAGATCCCCAGTTTACTTGGCTTACTCAAGTGCATGTCACAATAACAATATAATCCTTAGTGCTATATATCAAGAAGCTTTGAGTTGTAGTAGCTGAGAGAAATGTGATACACATGTAAGGACAGATGGACACACAGATGGGGAGAGGTAAACCTCTATACTTTCCTCCTTTGGAACTGGGATATAACTAGACCATATAAGTATACTGACTGGCAGTACCTTTAAATGGCTTTCCTGTTAAAGATGTTCTTGGGTTGCTGTCTCATTGATATATATGTATACCCTATTTTTCCGTTATTCACACTGTGTATAGTTCAATATGAGTATCCTTGATATCATCATCTGTATATTCATCACTACTAAAAGTCTGATATAAACAAGATTATTTACTATAAAACAGATTGATAATTCTACCAAATAAAAAAACAAAATGTGCATTCCTTTTAAGAAGTTTAAGAGCTATAACTTCTTCAAAATTGAGCAACCTTCATGAAACTCAAAAATGATAAGTAACTTTTCCAGTTTGAAAACATTTGCACAAAACAAACAACAAGAATGTGTCCATAGTAGACAGATGCCCCACTCATTTTCTATGTTTAGTGGACCGTGAAATTGGGGTCAAAACTCTAATTTGGCATTGAAATTAGACAGATCATATCATAGGGAACATGTATACTAAGTTTCAAGTTGATTGGACTTCAACTTCATCAAAAACCACCTTGACCAATTACTTTAACATGAAGCAGGACAGACGGACGAACGGATGGACGAACAGATGCACAGACCGAAAAACATAATGCCCCTAAGTGAGGCATAAAAATATATATTATGTCTCTCTAAAACTCTGAATTCAAAAAGGATATGAGTTGATATTCACTTCCTGTCTGAGTATCCCTGTTAGAATAAACTCAGAGTTGACAACTGGTACCCCTGCCTTCATTACTGCTGTACAGAGTGATTCATCATCAGGACAGGAAACAATGACTATATTATCTCCCCCTTTCTTTGGCATTGTGGTTAGATACTGAAATTCCAAAAGGACACTCATTATTTATATGATGAATCTGTGATCATCTGTATAGGATAGAATGTCACATTCATTTAAACCTGTAGGAAATACATTTTGTTACCATAACACACCAAAATAAGCTTTGTGTAAAACCTAATATCTTTTAAAATTTTCAATATTTCTGTATCCTGTCAAGATCTGTATGACAGTAATTTAAAGAAGCATTCTACTTTTTACTATTCACAAAATGACTCATTTTATTAATTCAAAATCTTGTAAATCCTCAATAAAATAACTCTCTTCTATTAAGTACAAGAAACATCCTAAATTTTGTTATATGTGATTTCAATTTCATATGCTGAATTTTAACAAAATCTGTCAAGTGGCTCAGGAGCAGATACAGAAAAAAGTATTTCATAGTTGTAAAATATCTATGGTCCAGAGGATTTAATTTAACGAGTAAGATCCTTATGGTAAGGCAAAATATTTACAATAATACATACCTGACCTCCTGCACATTCAATTATTTCTGAAAATGATAAAAATAAACCAATAATAATAAATTGCTTCACCTAACGCAGCTGGATACGACTGCAGAGGTCCAACCCTGAACAGTTGGGGCAAAAATGGACACAATATTAGTGCTTGATACAGATCTGAATTTGGATTGAAATAAAATGTTTGACACATAATAGGTTTCTGACACAGAATAACTGTAGTCAAAGAACTTAGAATTGGTTATATGATTTGGTTTTATATTCAATTTTTTGTTTTTGTGCAATACACTTTGCTGTTGCGAATTGCCCCCTTTTTTTTATTGCTTTTGTGCAATACACTATGCTGTTGCAAATTGACCCCCCCCCCCCTTTTTTTTTTGGCAAAAAATTTTTTTTTCACCCCACCCCTTTTTTTTTGCAAAAATAAAATAATATTTGAAGAAATTTTTCTTTTTAATTTCTGAAATCTGTAATGAGAAAAAAAAATATGGTCCCCCCCATTTCTTTTTTACCCCCCCCCCCCCCCCCCCCCCCCAATTTTTTTCACCTTCCCTCCCCCTCCCATTTTTCAAAAAAAAAATGTTTCCCTGAAAATATGGTCATTATCTCAATTCAAATTTCCAATGGAGTTTGCAACCATAATTACCCATTTAAATACATCATAAAAGTCTTAAAATAGATAATGACAAACATAATCATGTCTAAAATTATATATCTTTAATCAGCATTTTTATTAGTAACTTCTAAAAATAAATTGACAGCTAATCACCTCAAGACAATACAAAATTTCTTTATATATAATTTTAAAGCAGTGTAAGGGAGGTAATCCAAATTTAACATTGTACTTAAAAGTGATTGTCCATAAACAAGGAAACCCTTGTTTTTTCCCCCTTTTTAGCCCCTAATTCCTAAACGGTTTGAGCCATTACCCCCCAAAGCCAATCATAACCATCCCTTTGTGGTATGGAAACTTGTTGTACATTTCAGAGAGATCCATACACCGTTCCACAAGTTATTGTCTGAAAACTAGAAAAATGCTTATTTGGGCCCCTGTTTTGGCCCCTTATTCCTAAACTGTTAGGACCATAACCCCCAAAATCAATCCCAATCTTCCTTTTGTGGTTATAAACCTTGTGTTTAAATTTCATAGATTTCTATTAACTAATACTAAAGTTATTGTCCGGAAACCAAGTGTCTTCAGATGACGACGACGATGACAACGACGTGATACCAATAAAAAAACACAAAAATTTTTTGCGGTCGTATAAAAACCAAAAACCAAAAAAAACCACATATCAGTTGTTTTAAGTTGAATCAGCATTTTTAGCTCTGAAATAATGAGGTATCCTTCCTTACTTTACTGGTTTAAGTTTGTTTGTTAAAGATATACATGGTCATCAAATCCCTTTTTACTATAACCATTGAAACAATAATTGATTTATAGAAAACTGACATGGAATTTACATGATTGCACAGAAAACAGGTATCAAGTATATTATATTAATCACAAAGAATTAATACCAATATTTTATATAAATTCAAGGAAACAGTACAAAGAAAATTTTATTATTACAGAATAAATTAACTTTTTATAGTGATTTTTTTGTGTTACTTAAAATAATAAACTTTATATGTGCCAAGATGTGCCTAGTAGTCAGGTCAATACTATTCTATTAAACATACACAAAATATGAAATTTTGACTAAATACAAATTAAAAGATATCCAACTCATATTAGTTATTACCTGTCATTACACGATACTTTAGAAGTTTTAGTATTATTATGCTCCCAATCTTCTATCCACAGTTTCTCTATAAACTTTCATTACCTTCCATTCAATTATGTACCCTAATTTCAATTTCATATAATTATGTCTCTTACATTCCCTTTCATATAGCCCCTACTTTCCATTTATAATAGAATTAAGATTTTTTACTTCCCTTTAATTGATAATGCTTGCTACCATCCATTTGACTGATAATTATAGGCTTCATAACGAGCGAGAATTGGAATTCAGTTGATATCAACTTAAGTTAATTTCAATATAATAATAAATGAGCCTTTGGCGTGTTTATTACTAACATTTAAATTAAATAAAGAGAGTTGATATCAAGCGATATTCATTTCTCACAAGTTAATAAACCTATTTTTCTTTTGGTTAACATTCTCTTTGCCTTAAAAAAAATTCCTTGACTCTGTGATCTAGTCTTTTGCACAAAACAGTACTAGTATGACGTCATGTCTTGTTTTTACTTCAAACTTTAATATCAGACATTTAAAAAATTTTGTATGCTTAATAAAAGAATGTAATAAACATGATAAAATTTGACAATAATAACATTTTCAGATGAAAAGTGTAAGTGCTTTGTATATTATTGAAGACATCACATATGTCATTTGCAATGTAGGAAATGAACATCATATGGACCTTTGAAAATCATCAATAACCTAAGAAATATCCAATGGAAATGTTGCAATATTGTTTAATGATGCTGGATAAGCCAATCAAATAAACACATTTTTCTTATCACTTATTCATATCACACTACAGTGTGACATGCCAAATATCTCTTCAAGTGAAAAATAAATAACAGGTCACAACTATAAGAGACTGCTTCTTACCTTCCATTTGACTAGGCTCTGGTTTGACAGATTTGGTTACATGCACTTTATATCCCTGCAATAAACATGATTCTTTGGCGTTTTCAAGAGATCTGGACAGTGAAAATTTGTATTGTTTTTCTGTTGCTGTATCCTTCACTGGGAACTTATGACAATCTAAAACAGAATAAAAACATTTTGTCTTTTAAATGTGCTCAATGATAAAAATCATTATTAAGCATACACTACTGCCTGACAATACATTTATTTTTTGCATTGCACAAGTCATGTCTTCTTTGACTGTCCATGACTTTAAAATACTAAATCCCTGGGATGTGTTTTAGTTGATTTTAGTCTCTGATGCATGATTTTTTTATTATTGTTTTTGGATTTTAACTAGCTGTCAGTAACTGCGAGTACTCTCAAATCGTACTTTCTTGTTTATTTGACCTGTTGATACTAATTGTAATGCTTTTTTGTTATTTAATGCCATCCATGGTTATATCTGGGCTATATACCAGCTTTGATAAGTGTTTGGTATTACTATAAATTTTCACTTCTTTGTACTTTGAACATCAAAATTATTTATTTTGTAAAAATATTTCCTTTCTCTATTTGAACTGTACACCTATACCTAACAACAAAATTATTTTCATTTACCTGTGTTTAAAGAAATTGCAAATGGCTGATATTTTTTTTCAAGCATATTTTTTTTCTTAAATTGTTTAACATTTCACAGCGGTATAACATGTACTTTTATTATTCTTCCCTTGGTTTATTTATTTTGTATTTACATTGTAACATAGATCAAATTTATTTGTTCAGTGTATGCTCACTGGTGTTAATATGTCTTTTGATTGAGTTAAGCCATTTCAATTGATATTTTATAGTGTGTCTTTCTATGTTGTGATGTTACACTATTGTTTCAGATAAGGGTGAAGGTTTGGTACCATTAAAACGTTTAAACCTGCTGCAATTGTTTGCACCTGTCCTAAGTCAGGAATCTGATGTTCAGTAGTTGTCGTTTGTTGATGTGGTTCATAAGTGTTTCTCGTTTCTGGTTTTTTATATAGATTAGACCGTTGGTTTTCCCGTTTGAATGGTTTTACACTAGTAATTTTTGGGGCCCTTTATAGCTTGATGTTTGGTGGGAGCCAAGGCTCTGTGTTGAAGACCGTACTTTGACCTATAATGGTTTACTTTTATAAATTTTGACTTGGATGGAGAGTTGTCTCATTGGCACTCATACCACATCTTCTTATATCTACTTAATTTATTTTTGAATATCTGACAATGACTTTGTATGAATAAGTTACATAGAGGAGAGGCTGTGTCTCGTGAATGTTCAGTCCTGGTTAGTTAAGTTGTATTTTGCTATATATAACATCTTATATTCACCAACCACCTGAACCTTGGTACCCTAATCCAGAAGTTCGGTTAACATCCTCCTTTCACCATGTTTCAAACTTATTTGTACCTATTACTGTAGATTCCTTTATATTCTCAGGTACTAAATTTTATGGATTAAGGAAAAATCGTATTTTCATGGTTTTGAAAATTCTACATAGTATGAATTCATTTTTTTTGTGGGTTCCAATTTTTCGTGGATTAAGTAAATCTTGCATTTTTGTAGATTTTTGATTTCGTGGTTTTGCCAAAGTCTGCATATAACCCAATAGAAAATTTGCAATTCTTTCAATTTTTATATACATGGTTAACCTGTACCCAGAAAAATCCACGAAAATTGGTATTCCACAAATAATGAATCCACAGTAGACATGGTTAACAATTGACCGCTTCCTATCAAATGATATATTGCAATTGTACAATTTTTTTACTTACAAAGAATCTTTACCTTAAATCAGAATCTGCATGTTACAGCAAATAAACCATACATAAGATACAATCTAAGGGTGTCAATCTTCTAAGAAGTCATGAGTGATGAGATATCTATGGTGGTTACAATCCAATGCAAGTAATTATTTTTCCTTACTAAATAGTCAATCATATAATATTGATAATAATGTAAAAAAATCTGATAATATCTATAAATTCATATCATGTATAAAATAAAACAATTATATATTACTTCTACTTGAAAAATTACAGCATTTCTGACATTCATTTTCAGTAAAAAATGTGACCTCTGATAAAGAGAGTTCATGTAGCTATTACTAACATGGCTGATATATTTACAATCTGATAACATACCTACAAACATGGCAGACTGTTTACAACTTTCTATCCACTGTAAAGTAACTATCTGATTACATACCTACAAACATGGCAGACTGTTTACAACTTTCTATCCACTGTAAAGTAACTACATGTATCTGATTACATACCTACAAACATGGCAGACTGTTTACAACTTTCTATCCACTGTAAAGTAACTATCTGATTACATACCTACAAACATGGCAGACTGTTTACAACTTTCTATCCACTGTAAAGTTACAATTGGAATACCTCTGGCTAAGCAACACAGGAACTTCACAGTTCTTCGTACCTAAAAAAATCAGTTTATTAAAAAAAAATAAAAAACTTAGATAAGTTTTTGAGCCACTCTAGTGAGAAAAAATAGGTAGATGGCATCGTCATTTTCATATATGGGACATAAATGAAATTTGTACTTTATCTTGCAAATGTTTGTATGCAATGTATAATCAATCTATATGAAGCATGTGTTCAAGAGTCTGCTTTGAATCTTGTACTAAAAAGGAGTCTTAATTTTATAGGTTAATAAGAGTCTAAAACAAATTGTGTTTATAAGCATATTCTTGGATTCATAATTCTTTTTCTTGAATTCTTAGTCATATGAAACTTCAAATTTAAAAAAAAATTGAATATGTTTTTTATACTTGAATGACTAAGTTTTACTATAAAACAAGCGTACATGAACTTTCTTGTAAAAAGAAATCCTTAATATTAACAAAATCTTAATAAATGTACTGCTATTGAATTATTGGCTTTCCGTCCACTAATTCACCGATATTTTCCTGTATGCAGCGACCTTAACTACGAGACCTCTCGTTAAGATTTTGGCCACCGCACAGCACACTTGTGAGGGAAAATCTGTGATGAAAGAATGTAAACAAACGTGCACTGGAAGGTAAATAGTAATAACTGATTCTTAAAAAACAAATCTAATACAACAAATCATTTAACAACTTTTCAGGAAAAGTTAAATAAACAAATGGGAACGCATGGAAAATATAAAATAAATGATCATGGCTTTATCAATTCACTTATTTGTCACATGCTCCACATGCTTTGTGCTGATTGTTTATCAATGTCACAATCTGTTAAAGTTAGGCAACAAACTGGAAAGTTAATTAGCACGCGATAAACAATCACTGAATGAAATATCATTTGTCAATAATATGTTATAGATTTGTAGTTCTTCATTAGTTAAAATCCAATTATGCCATAAATTGTCTTGCCTTCCCCTTTTTATCTTGACATCACAATAAAAATGACTATGCCTAATGAGGTTTCTAAGAAAGAATATAATATTACATTGAAAAGAATCTTAAAACATGCATACATATCATCTACAAATCCTTAGAGAAATCTCTCATCATATATTGTGTGATATAATATTCCACACTGGACAGTTAAATTTCATAGATATTTCTAAGGCATGACAAGCCTTTCATATTCAATTTTAAAATTTAACTGTCTTGACTGAAAAAATATTGCATGACACTCAATTTAGTGGTAGAACCTGCATGTATCCACATATTAAACACCATTGATTGTAAAATGTACAAACCTTATCTGTCACAAGATGTGTACATTCCTGTACAGAGTTAACAAATTCTCCTCCAAGGTCTTTTATTATCTGAAAATACAGCATTATGATTTATCATTTTACTGAACAACAATTCAATTTAAACTTTACAAAGTTACAAATACATAGATTTTGCATTCTGGATTTAATATTTACCCCTTTTTATAATTCTGTGTACATTGAAAATAATTTTTGATTCTTTTTAAACAGTTGTGTCCTCCCTTTTTCTGGGAATTACTTATTTTTGTACATACTAAGAAGGTTTGATTGAAGAGTATGTATCATGTGTATTACATTGTTGAAAAAAATATTGGAAGGCAAAAAAACATAGTGCTAAGATATGGTATTTTCTGTCATTTCTTGCTTGTAGGGCTGAATTGTTATGAACTTCTGCTAGACAGTTCTAAGGTAAACATTATCATAACTATACATCTTTGTATGGTAAAAATTACGTATTAAATACCTTTTGACCATGTTCATCCACAACACCTGTGAACATAACTTTAGGTTTGTTAGGTTCCACAGATTTCCTCCTAAGTGATGGAGAACTCACTGCTAGGGTCTTATTCTGTTTAGGAGTTGATTGCTCTTCTTTTACCCTGGTTTTTTTGGCAGGAGTTTCTGAAACGTTCTGGTTAAAAAAAGAAAAAGCTTTTCTACATTACAATATTTTGTGTATAACTGTTAATTTTAAAACTCCTCTCAATATCTTTGAAGGCATGATGACTAGTGACGTCATATATAATATATAGTCTTTGGTATAAGTATTAAAAATAAATGGAGAATGTGTCCTATAGATGATGCCCCTGCTTCCATATAACATTATAAAGGGACATAACCCAAGAACAGTAAAAGTGACGCCACCCAAATTATAACTTGATCTGAGTTTTGTGGTAATAAGCGTTGTGTACAAGTTTCATAACATTTGGTTGAGGCAAACTTAAGTTAGAGAACGGAAACAAAAAATTCAGCAATTTTTCCATTTGTAAAGGAGCATAACTCTAGAATGTAACAGTGACACCACCAAAATTCAAACTTGATCTGTGTTTTGTTGTAATAAGCATTCTGTATAAGTTTCATAATATTTGGTTGAGACAAGCTAAAGTTAGAGAACGGAAAACAATTTCAGGATGTACGTAAGTGCCTCCTTCGCTGGGGTGGGGGCATAAAAATATTATCAAGAAAATAAAATACTTTAATTTTCTAATAGTACCAATACACATTTAGAGACATGGTATTTACAATATTGACCACAGTTTTAAAATTGCAGTTCAGGAACAAGTTGTACTTATGCAGTAATAATTATCACTTTTTCTCTTTTAATTGCTAAGCAGTTAAACTATTGACTGCAATGCACCATTGTCATTTCCATATATGCTGTCTATAAATTTAAGTTCATGTAAAGAAAAAAACTCTGGTAACAATTGATGTAAAATGATCAATAGATAAAAAGGTATTGAGACCTTGACCTTTTGACCACTTGTCTTGTATCTTTCCAAGGGGTATATCTAACCAAGCTTGGTGAATATTGGACATATAGTTAAAATGATAAAACCCTGAAACCCAAATTTTGCCCCAATTTCAGTCAATCAATTGCTGCTGTGACCTTGACCTTTGATCTAGTGCCCTTAAAATCAATAGAGGTCTCCATCACATGGGTGTTATCTCACCAAGTTTGGTAAAAGGGTTTAAAAGATAATAATTGGAAACCCAAATTTTGCTTGAATTTTGACGTATCAAGTGATTGCTGTGACTTTGACCTTTAATCCCAAACCCATAAGTTTTTTTATCATTCCATGGGGCATTATCAATCCAAGTTTGGAAAAGAAATTGTTTTAGACTCAAAAGATTTTTCTGAAAAAAAAAACCAAACAAAAAGTTGATGTCTGTATGTCCTGACATTCCTACAACATCATGAACATTGATGATATTATAAGCCAAGCTTCTCTTTCTTGCAATTCCTCTAAAATTGATTCTCTTTATTAATACTTTCCATATTTGGATAGTATAACACATCTACCTGCCAGGAAGGCCTGAACAACAATTACCAATTATACCTACTCATAATAAACCTTGAAAAATTACTTACCTCGTCATTACTCCTTCCTCTTTTCTTTGATTCTGATTTCATCGTTTTCTGCTCTTTACTATGTTCACTACTAACAGAAGAATGATCACTTTTGTGTGTACTTGTTCTACTGCTAGATCTAGATGTATCTTCTTCGACTGGAGAATCATTTCTAACATTTGAAGTCCTTCCTTTTGACTTTTGAGTAGTTTTTGTTTCTAATACATTAGTATTTACAGCAATTTTAGCTCTTTTTGAAGTTGATGGTGAAACGTCAGATACATTAATAGATGAATCTCGCTTTCGTTTGATATTTGTTGGTTTTGAATAATTTTCTTTCACAATTTCTTTATTTTCTATTTTTCTAGTCCGTGAAGATGACCTTCCTCTAGTATTACTGTCAGATGACTCACTTTTATCTTTCTCATGAATGTCCAGGTTAAAACTTTTTTCTTTTTCATTTTCATTTATGAATTCATTAACTTTTGATTGTCTTGATGTTCCTCTATTATTTTGTATTTCCGAAGTAGCACTGTCATCAGCATTTTTCTTGCCTCTTCGTCCACCACTTTTTGGTGGCAGCATTAACTCATCTTTATTTTCTGTTCCTGACAGAACAGAACTTCTACCCCTTCTACCCCTGTTATCATCTTTTGATACTTCCAATTGTTTATTCTGAGCCTCAGATGTTGATCCCAGAGCTTTACTTTTTCCTCTTTTACTTTCTGCTTCACTTTCTTGACTTTCTGTTTTACAACTGTTTTTACCTTCACTTTCTTCTAATAAAACAGAAGTTCTTCCTCTTCTACCAGTTTGTTTTGTCGTTTTACTTACTGCTTCACTTGCCCGACTTTCTGTTTCACAACTGTTTCTACTTTCACTTTCTCCTGAAACAGAAGTTCTTCCGGATCCTCTTCTACCAGCTCGTTTTGTGTTACTTCCTGCATCACTTTCCTGACTTTCTGTTTCAGACATGTTTTTACTTTCACTTTCTCTTAAAACAGAAGTTCTTCCTCTTCTACCAGTTTGTTTTGTTGTTTTACTTCCTGCATAACTTTCCTGACTTTCTGTTTCAGACATGTTTTTACTTTCACCTAAAACAGATGTTCTTCCTCTTCTGCCAGTTTGTTTTGTTATCACATCATCAGTTTTACCTGTATCATTATTTGTTGTGGTATTACTTTCACTTTCAGCAACACTTCTTCCCCTCCTACCAGCTGATTTTGATGCCTTGAATTCTTCAGCTTCACTTCTTGCTTTGTCTGTCATTTCTGGAACAACAGAAGATCTACCCCTTCTACCCCCTTTTATTGTTTTAGAAACTCTTTTATCGATGTCTACATTTTCGATGACTGTTTCCTTTTCATTGTCTACTACAGGATCAATTGATGCTTTGACCTTTCTGCCTCTTGACCTTTTTGTTTCTGGTTTATTTTCTATTATCTTTTCATCTTGCTTAGCCAAACTTGTTTCACTATGACTTGTTCCAGGTTCTGACAGTTCCTGTACAGAAAACTTACCACTACTGCCAAATGTCTTCAAGGTTTCAGGTTCTCCTGTTTTATCAACTTGTTCTGTTGATATCCCTTGTGAACCTCCGTTTGCAGGTTTTACCAAATCTTCATTCTCTCCATCACTTATCAATGCCACTGTTTCTGTCTTATCTTCCTTTTTGACACCTTTATTTGTTTCCTTTCTAGTTGCTGTAGATTTTCTTCCCCTGCCTTTAGAGGTGGAAGCTGTGTCTTCTGATTTTACATTTTCAATCAAAGCTGTTGACCGTCTGCCTCTAGTTATTTTAGTTGTCTCCCCTGAATCATTTGCTGACTGATCAGCCTTAGAATTGATATGCTCTTCAGTCTTAATATCAGTGATAGCTGACCTACGTGTTGTTTTTGTTTCAGTTTTATTTGTTTCTTGTTCAGAAAGCACTGATTGCCTGCCCTTTTTCCCTTCGGTTAAATTTTCATTTTCTCCTTGACTAGCTGGATGAGATTTTGCTTCAGCAGTACGTTTATTTCTAACTTTTTTGATAATAGCTTCTTTAACTTTTGATCTTGATGGTCTGTTGGTTGATGTATTCTTCTGCTCAGTTTTCTCAGCAGTCTCACTGTCAGTTGGTATATCATTGTTCTCACTTGCACTGGTTGATGATGAATCAATCTAACCAAAAAAAATATACTCGATTAATCAAGAGAAAATAAAATAGTAAAAAAACTGCAAATATCAACAAGACTGACACATTATTGTGATCAGCATATCCCCACTCATAATTCTAAGAATCTGAAAACAGGATGTAGGCATCTGACCGGTCCACACATTACAACTCATCACACTGTCAGGTTAATGACCAAACAGGATGTAGGCATCTGACCAGTCCACACATTACAACTCATCACACTGTCAGGAATCTGACCAAACAGGATGTAGGCATCTGACCGGTCCTCACATTACAACTCATCACACTGTCAGGCTAATGACCAAACAGGATGAAGGCATCTGACCGGTCCACACATTACAACTCATCACACTGTCAGGCTAATGACCAAACAGGATGTAGACATCTGACCAGTCCGCACATTACAACTCATCACACTGTCAGGCTAATGACCAAACAGGATGTAGGCATCTGACCGGTCCGCACATTACAACTCATCACACTGTCAGGCTAATGACCAAACAGGAAGTTATTTTGTTTAGTAGTAAGAAGTAGTAAGGAAGAAATGTGTGATGAAAAATTCAGTTAACATACTGAAAATTATCTGCACATTACAACTCATTACTGTCAAGCTGACACAACATGAAGTTATTCTGTTCAGTAATATTTGGGAAAAATGTGATGAAAATTTGAAGTTTATTCAAACTAATTGGGAGGATGACAAAAGCCTCCCACTGCAAAAGAAAATTATTTGTTTTGTTTTTATATTATGATTTTTTAGTTCATAGCTAATCAAACAAGAGGCTCATGAGAGCCTGATATCACTCACCTGGTTGTAATTTCAGTTTCAGGCATTTGACTTATTTGTAGATCTTACTTTGCTGAAAAATTATGTAATTTACACTTTCTCTCTTTCTATAATAATATTAAAGATAATACACAACCCAAAACTGTAAAATTTCCAAAAAATTAACTTTTTCTGGACAGTAACCCAACAATAAGTTGTCCTATTGGTCTGAAGATTACTTGACAGGTAGATATAAACCTGTTTAACACTTTCAACTATGTCAGTTTTGCCCTTACTGCTTTAGTTTTTGAGATGAAAGCCATAAACTTCATTTGATCCCTATGTTCTATTTTTAGAAACTGCCGACATGTTTTTGAATGGATCAAATCCCCGAATACAATCTATAAACTAGATACCCTAAGGAACATTCAATTAAAGTTTTTAAGTATTTGGCAAAGTAGTTTCAGATAAGAAGATTTTTGAAAAAGTAATTGGACTTTCACAAAAAATGTAAAAAAAAAAACATTTTAAGGGCAATAACTCCTCAAGGGGTCAATTGACTATTTTGATCATGTTGACTTATTTGTAGATCTTACTTAGCTGAACATTTACTGCCATTTATACTTTCTCTCTATCTATTATAATATTAAAGAAAATAACCAAAAAAAGTAAAATTTAATAAAAAATAAAATATTTCCAACAGTAACCCAACAATGGGTTGTAGAACTCGTCTGAAAATTTCATAACAGATAGATCATGACCCATTTATCACTTTAACTCTCTTTCACTTTTGATCTAACTGCTGTAGTTTTTGAAATATAAGCCAAAAACTGCTTTTGACCCTATGTTCTACTTTTAGCCATGGTGGCCATGTTTGTTGATGGATAAAATTTATAAACTAGATACCCCAAGGAGCATTCAGTTAAAGTTTGGAAGTATTTGGCCCAGTTGTTACAGAGAAGAAGATTTTTGAAAAAGTAATTGACTTGCACAAAAAAATGTTAATAAACAGCTGTGCCACAAGCGCATGATACGCCCGTCGTCTTGTGTGTGAGGTTTTATGCAATAATCATAAATTGTTTTTGAGATACAGCGCGACATGTGAAAACCCCCCTTTTTTTACAAAAAACTCAATAACTCTAAAATAAAATTTTGAATCATCACCAACAAGTATACAGATCTTTAGATTAATATAACTAAGAAGTGTGTAAAGTTTTAAGCAATAATCATAAATAGTTTTTGAGATACGGCGTGACATGTGAAAAAAACACCCCCTGTTTTAGTTACAAAGTCCCGTAACTTAAAAAGTTTTAATCTTATTTTCACCAAAAAGTATACAGATCGTTTGACCATCATAAGAAACAACTATATTAAGTTTCATGAAATTTGGATAAGTCGTTCTCATGTTATGGTGTCACATGTGGATGCCAGACAGACAGACAAACGCCAGACATTTGTATACCATAATACGTCCCATCAAAATTTTGAAGGGGTATAACAATAAACATTTCAAGGGCAATAACTCCTTCAGGAGTCAATTGACTATTTTGATCATTTGACTTAGTTGTAGATCTTACTTAGCTGAACTTTTTTGCTATTTATACTTTCTCTCTATCTATTATAATATTAAAGATAATAACCAAAAACAGCAAAATTTCATAAAAATAAACTATTTTGGACAGTAACCCTTCAATGGGTGGTTCAATTGGTCTGAAAATTTCAAAGCAGATAGATCTTGACTTATTCATCACTTTAATTCCATGTCACTTTTGCTCTAACTGCTATAGTTTTTGAGATAAAAGCCAAAAACTGCATTTGACCCCTATGTTCTATTTTTAGCAATGGCGGCCATGTTTTGTAATGGATCAAAACTTCCGATACAATTTATAAACCAGTTACCCTAAGAAACATTCAGTTAAAGTTTAGAAGTATTAGGCCTAGTAGTTTCAGAGGAGAAGATTTTTAAATGTTAGCAAACATGATGCACAAATTGTGTAAAATTGTCCTTAGAGGACAATAACTTCTTAAGGGGTCAATTGACAATTTTAGTCACATTAAACTTTTTTGTAGATCTTACTTTGCTGTTTATAGTTTATCTTTATCTTCAATAATATTCAAGATAATAACCAAAAACTGCAAAATTTCCTTAAAATTACCAATTTAGTGGCAGCAACCTAAAAATGGGTTGTTCGATTTGTCTGAAAATTTCAGGGCTGATAGATCTTGACCTATTGAACATTTTTACCAATGTTGTATTTGCTTTAAATGCTTTAGTTTTTGAGATATAAGCCAAAAACTGCATTTGACTTCTTTGTTCTATTTTTAGCCATGGCGGCCATGTTTGTCGATGGATCAAAACTTTGGATACAATTTATAAACTAGATACACTAAGGAACATTCAGTTAAAGTTTGATGGTATTTGGCCCAGTAGTTTCAGAGGAGAAGATTCTAGAAATAGTTTACGACGACGATGACAGACGATGGATGCCAAGTGATGGCATAAGCTCACATGGGGCCCTTTGGCCCCGGTGAGCTTAAAATTGAATTTAACTAACAACTTCAGTTCTAGTTTTTTTTTTATGAGAAAAGCTTTAAATTACCCTCATCATATATTTCCTAAGTGAAGGATGATATGTAATTATGAACGTGAGGCTTTTGTCCTTGCCCCAATTGTCCATTCATCCAACAAATATTGCTATCAAACTTTTCTCAGCTAATGTTGAACAGAATGACTTCATATTAGGTCAGCTTGACAGTGCTGATCTTTCAAATGTGCACTCTTTTCTACTAAAAGACTACTACCTCCTGTTTACCGGTACTTTGAAGTTTTCAATATATGAATATGTTGATTCTAAGACAATAATAATAATAATAATGACTAACTTGAAGACATTTAAACATGCACTGACACATGTAAAAATATTATTACCCTCACTTCACAATTTAAGCAAAGAGTCATGTTTGGGTAATAAGTAAGGACTATTTATAAAGAAAATATTTAGGAAGAGCCAAGTTAAGACATGATACCTTTTTAACAGTAAACTGGACACGTTTTGGAGATGGTGATTTCTTTTCCCTTTTATCTGGCGATACTAATGTTGGTTTTAGTGGTGACCTTGAAGGAATCGAGATCAATGGAGATCTTATATCAGTTTCTTCACTGTCAGCAACAACCTGAAATTCAGATTTCATCATATAAAATTTGTAGCAATATTTCCGCATATTAATTATGCTTTTAGAACTGAACCTTTATAGATTTTTATAGCATTCCTCATTGTCCAGTAGGTTAAAATCATGAAGAATTTCTAAAGTGTCAAATTACCCAACTAAATTGGATTCACAAATGACCTGATGTGGAAATAAAAATTTTCCAATATGGCATTAAGAAGACAGTTTCAAAAACACCTCGATAGACCCTGAAGTCCATGTTGGCAAAAAATTTACAATTTTTGGATGTATGAACATCATCCCCATAATTTAATAAACAGCTGCGCCATGAGTGCATGATACACCCGTCATCTTGTGTGTGAGGTTTTATGCAATAATCATAAATCGTTTTTGAGATACAGAATGTCATGTGAAAACCTCCCTTTTTTTTATAAAAAAATCAATAACTCTTAAAATAAAATTTTGAATCATCACCAAAAAGTATACAGATCTTTAGATTAATGTAACTAAGAAGTGTGTAAAGTTTTAAGCAATAATCATAAATCGTTTTTGAGATACGGTGTGACATGTGAAAAAAACACCCCCTGTTTTAGTTACAAAGTCCCGTACTCAAAAAGTTTTAATCTTATTTTCACCAAAAAGTACACAGATCGTTTGACCATCATAAGAAACAACTATGTTAAGTTTCATGAAATTTGGATGACAAGTCGTTCTCAAGTTATGGTGCGACATGTGGACGCCGGACATTTGTATACCATAATACGTCCCGTCAAAAATTTTGACGGGACGTATAAAAACCAGTTGAAGTGTGTTTTTAAGCTGTTTACCTAATTTCTCAAAATGTTGGATTGTAAACTGTTTTTTAAAGGCAAAGCCATCATGGATTTCAGATTTTTTTTTTACTCTAATTTCCAATATGGTTTGAATCCCTAAGGTCATTTAGATTAAGACAGATGATGATGCATGGGGCTGCTTACTTCATCACTAATTTTATAATTGACTTTCAAATTTTCTTCTATACATAATATTGCTACAGTCTGTAAAATTCGTTTTTTCTTCTGAAGAAAAGCTGTTTATACATGTGTTTTTTCCAGAGAGTTCTATTTTAAAATTATGTTCAGTGTTTGGCATCTTTTTGAGTTTTTCACAAAATACAGGACGTTTGAAGCCTTAATTCTAATATGCAAAACAAATTAAAAAAATATTAATACTGATGAATGATAATGTACTGTCTTTTGAACATCTGAAGTATGCTATTTGGCAAGCTTATAATAATTTTTGATTTTCGAAATCAGGGGATAAAAAATATGGCATTATCATACCTTCTCCTTTCTGTGTGAGATAAGTAGGATTCAACAATTTGAACAGTATGAGTTGAATAAAGACTTCTGTTATCAATTCATTTCTTAAACTTATATTCTTAATATTCAATATGAAAGCCTAGGTAGCTTATCCTTTTCTCCTTTGATCTGCAGCCAAAATTCATCTAGTATGAAAATTATTTTGACAGTTCTACTAAAAAATTGTTTCAGCATAAAGATAAAACCTCTTCCTCCAAACTGTAATTCTGTGTTGCTGCTAACACTTCTTCAATTGGAGGAGTTGTGTCCCTTTCCTCCTTTGACCCTCCCTCATCCAGAAGTGGAGTGGAATCATCCTCACTTAATACATATGGCTGTGTGGCCTCTACCATTTCAGGCTGAGGTAACTCTTCTTCAGGTTCCAATGTATAGGCTTGAGTTGCTTCTGTCAGTACTGGAGCTGGAGATTCTAAAATAGAAAATCTGTAATCAGGGCTATTCTATTAAAATGGATGTTGGAGGGTAGTAAGGGACTTTCAAAGTTCCCCCACAACCAACATTCTTTCTTTCAATAATTTTGAAAACATTGAAGGACAGACACCTGTAAGTTACTTATGACCCATGTCCAAAATATAAGTTCCCTTCCTTCCCTCCAACATTCATTTCAATGGAATAGGCCTCAGTAAGTGTAAAAGATAAGACCAAACAATTATGAACTGTCAGATTCAAGAAATAGCATTTCCTCTTACAGCACCAAATAAATAAATCTTAAATCAATACTATGTACATACTTACAGAGTATAGCCTTTGCCAGAATATATCCACTATCACAAGGATCCGGAAATTTTTTCACACAATTTCGGTCATTTTGAGATGATTGAAAAGTTGATGCCCCTTTTATTGTCGATGTCAAACTAGATTCAAAGGCTATAGCATCAACGAACTTGCTCAATGTTGTTTTATCGCATTTACTACAAGTAAATTTCTTACCAATTTTCTAAAAAACCTTCAAGATAAGTTTAGTGAATGCAACAGTTTAAAATAGAAATGATTTTAATGACTCAAAATGGTTGATTTCTCAGACATTGTTACCGTTTCTTTCGATTTAACAAAATTAAAACCGGCGGTTTTGCGATAATATATAAAGTACGGAAAATTCCGGATTCATTTCCGGGATTCGTTTTGTTTATCAAATTGACAGGAAATCACCGGCTTTTTAATTCTATTACCTTTAAAATTGTTTAAATATAACTGATAAAAGTTGCACTCATTTACTTTAGCATGAAATCAATTTGCATTTTACAATTAAATATTTAGTTTGCTGAAGACAAGTTCACGCATGCGTATTACACAGTAAACAAGCACATGTGTTACTCATGAAAAAATACCTTTTCTACATAAATTAAATAAAGGTTTAATTTTGAAATCAGAATAGATGATTGTCTTTGTTGAAAAGTAATAAAATAATTAATACACTTACCAGGGAATTTTAATTTCTTTAAGATATCATTCTGAGCTTGTGATCAAAGTCAGGTGTGAATTAAAAACACAGGTAATAAAATGCTCCGCTGGGGCGCAGCTTGATACGACCGCACAGGTCGAACCCTGAACAGTTGGGGCAAGTATGGACACAACATTCAAGCTTGATACAGCACTGAATTTGGATTGTAATTATATATTTGACACAGCATAGGTTTCTGACACAGAATAAATGTGGTCTAAGAACTTAAAAAATTTTAATTTATCTATTCAAACCATATCATTATTATTTGCTTTTATATATTAATCAGAAATAACCAATTTAAAATGGAAAATTTTAAAGAAAATTTTAAAGAAAAAAAAATCCCCCCCCCCAAATTTTTTGAGCCCCCTTATGATTCATCACCCCCAAACTCAATCCCAGCCTTCCCTTTGTGGTATGGTACCTTCAACTTGCATACATGTGATGGACTGTGAAACTAATATCAGGAGTTTGGGAAATTTTGGTCAGGAGATTAGGACTCAGATCAGGAGGTTTTCAATCGACATAAATTCTGTCGTAAATGTAACCGTGTGCTGTAGAAATTGTCTGTTAAAGTGTGTTTTCTTCAACTTTCCATCCGAATGTATTATGTTTATAGTACCCTTGTACTTATTAATTTTCTCTTATCTTTTTAAACTTTCAACTTGTTCAATCTAACATTCTTCTTTTTTAGTATGTTCTTTAAATTTTTTAGGTCATATCTGTTTTACCATTATTCATTGCAATCAAAACAAATGCTTATCTATCTGCAAGTAGATCTTTTGTTTTATCTTTACGCAAGTAGATTTTTTTTTTTTTATCTTTATATTATGCAAGTAGATTTATAATGCTTGATAAGTAATACATTCGAAATATATTCATGGGTCATAGTTATTATATAAATTTCAATTTAAACCTTGAAAGGAAGTATAGAACCCTCAAATAATTTTCAAATTATTATTTTTTTATTTGTCCTAAGACATTTAAAATCATTTAATTACCATCCTTTTATGATTATTTGTTCAATTTATATTTTATTTATATTCTTTTAAAAATTTACATTATTCAAAGGAAAGTAACTTAAAACAGGATAAATCAAGGGAAGTAACCCAACATTCATTTTAACTACACAAAGTTTTATTACACAACGGCAGTTAGCCTGGGATGAAAATAGTTGATTACCAGTATGTGTAACACCCAAGGTGACAAGTGAAGCCATATAATTATGCATGTTAATTGATTTACAGGTAAAATATAACTTCAGGTAATGTCAGTTACACCAGATATGTTGGGCTGAAATTTTTCATTCATGAAATATTTCATACACGGGATTTTTTTGTCTTCAACGGGAGGTCGGGAGGAGACCCCTGAAAACAGGAATATTGTACTCCCGTCGGGAGGTTCACATGTACAATTTCAGAGAGATCTAAACACTTGAACACAAGTTATTGTCTGGAAACCAGAAAAATGCTTATTTTTTGGTCCCTTGTTGGCCCCAAATTCCTAAACATTTAGGGCAATTACCCCAAACTCAAACCCAGCTTTCCCTTTGTGATATGGAACCTTGCAGTACAATTTCATAAAGATCCATACACTTACACACAAGTTATTGTCCTGAAACTAGAAAAATGCTTGTTTTTTTGCCCCTTTATGGCCCCTAATTCCTCAAATTTCTAGGGAATTACCCCCAAAATCAATCCCAGCCTTCCCTTTGTGGTATGGTACCTTGCAGTACAATTTCAGAGAGATCCATACACTTGAACACTAGTTATTGTCTGGAAACTAGAAAAATGCATATTTTTGGCCCCTGTTAGGCCCCTGATTCCTAAACGTTGTGGGCAATTACCCCCAAAATAAATTCCAGCTTTCCCTTTGTGATGTGGAACCTTGTAGTACAATTTCATAAAGATCCATACACTTACACACAAGTTATTGTCATGAACTAGAAAAATGCTTGTTTTTTGCCCCTTTTTGGCCCCTAATTCCTAAAATTTGGAGGCAATTTACCCCTGAAATCAATCCCAGCATTCCCTTTGTGATATGGAACCCTCTGGTACAATGTCAGAGCGATCCATTCACTTGCACACAAGTTATTGTCATGAAACAAGAAAAATGCTTGTTTTTTGCCCCTTTTTGGCCCCTTATTCCAAAAATTTGGAGGCAATTACCCCCAAAATCAATCCCAGCATTCCCTTTGTGATATGGAACCTTGTGGTACAATGTCGGAGAGATCCATACACTAACACACAAGTTATGTCTGGAAGTTACAAAAATGCTTATTTTTGGCCCCTAATTCCTTAACTGTTGGTCCCATAACCCCCAAAATCAATCCCCACCTTCCTTTTGTGGTATTGAACCTTATGGTAAAATTTCATAGAGATCCATTCACTTAAACTAAAGTTAAGAGTGCGAAAACTAATGTGTCTTCGGACATCGACGCCGGACGACGACGCCAACGTCATACCAATATACGACCACAAAATTTTTTTTGCGGTCGTATAAAAAGTAATTAGGGATCATTAGCCAATGTTTCCTAGGGGCATTGATATAGTCATTAAGAGGGCCCTCAGGATTATCAAACTATACTGGAGTGGCAGTTTTATTACAGGAAAGGGATTATAAACAAAAACAAGTGATCAAAAGTGCAAAATGGCGATTAAGAAATCCGATTTCAAACATTGAGTCAATGAAAGGACCGAAATTATTTCTGCTAAAAATCAAATTTGTCCTAAATCCCAATTACTCATTTAGGACAAATAGCTATCAGTTTAGGACAAGACTGGCAAATATGACCGTTTTCGGAACCTTGCGCTATCATATCATATTTGACATGTATATCTGACGATTCTATTACACCGAATAAAGATGAGTTTTGACCTGGGGTCATTAAGAAACTGACATATGCAAAACAAATCACCATTGACCAATGACAAAAAGTCCAGGTGGTTTCTGTCAGACAGACATGTATCAATATAATGTCTAATAATTTTTATATGAATCAGAATAAAAAAATCAACACTAGTTATAGTAAGTGAAATTAAAATCAACATAAGTTAGAGTAAGCAAAATGTTTCAACACTTTCCATAAATTATGAAGATATAGCATACCTTTATCTTGCAGAGCTGGTAATGACATTAGAAATTCAGCCTCTGTCTTTTTCACAGTTTCCTTTGGTAAAGGGGGTATATTTTTCTGCACAAGGGCAATTTCTTCCTCAACAGACAGTGTTAGAGTTTCTACAAAGCATCACACATTGAACAAGTACAAAGCGAAATACAAACATACTGGAAGTTAATAAATCAAACAATTGTAAAAATATGTTTTCCTCGTCTATAAAATTACATTGAAAGTTTAATTTCATGTAATAACATCTTTCTGAAAAAACTTTAAATATTTGCCCATAGATTATTAGCAAAGAAAAATCAAGGTATCATCATTCAATTTACAACTTAAACAGTGTTTTTTTTCATTCCATCATACCTTTGTGACTTTTATTTTTTTTTATTTGTGGCTAGTATATGCATGGCCAATTTTGTGTAATCAGAAGGAAATATAGAGGTCTACAGCTCACTATGCACACAAGTGCACTTTAAACACCCATCTGATTATTACTTAGGGGTATGAGATATTTCCTTTGAACAAACATCTGAAAGCAAATTCACAAAATCATGGTCTTGTAGAAAAGAGCTTATTACTCAGGAAAAACAAAATTTATTTTTTAGTTGAAATTAGACTTTGAAACTGCAATTACTCCTAGTTTGGTTTTTTGAATCTTTTGTCTTTTTGTACTTTGTACCTATCAGATGAGTCTAGACATTTCCTTTGATGAACTAAAAGTCAGATATGTAAAATGTTATGTTAAAAGATCTTTTTTGTCAATAAATGTGCTTTATGTTTCATGTCCAAAAAATCAATGGAAATTTACGTTTTCATTGAATTTTTGTGGAAAATCAAATGCGTGATATTTGTGACGTCATTAATAGAATACAAGTACACAAGTTTTCAACAAATAGACATATTTATTCATTCAGTGTATGTTCACTTGTTTTTGTTAATATGTCTTTTGATTGAGTGAAGCCATTTCAATTGATATTTTATAGTGTGTCTTTCTATGTTGTGATGTTACACTATTGTTTCAGGTTAGGGTGAAGGTTGGCGCCTATTAAAACGTTTAAACCCGCTGCATTGGTTTGCACCTGTCCTAAGTCAGGAACCTGATGTTCCGTAGTTGTCATTTGTTGATGTGGTTCATAAGTGTTTCTTATTTTTTCGTTTTTTATATAGATTAGACCGTTGGTTTTCCTGTTTGAATGGTTTTACACTAGTCAATTTGGGGCCCTTTATAGCTTGCTGTTCCGTGTGAGTCAAGGCTCCATGTTGGAAGGCTGTACTTTGACCTATAATGGTTTACTTTTACAAATTGTGACTTGGATGGAGAGTTGTCTCATTGGCACTCATACCACATCTTCTTATATCTATATATTTCCTATTTAGTCATTGTATTATTTATATATGATTCATTGTGATATTTGTCAATAAATCCTATTTTTAAATTTTAGCTAGAAATAGAGGCCATTTTCGGGCCTTATTGAACCTACTCCTTTAAGTCATGCTGAGACCTTTTACAGATTGAAAGACGTCTCTGGCAATCATACCACATTTTATTTTCATAATATTTACCTGCTTCACCAATATCTTTCTCCTGACTTTGACCAGCTGTTTTTGTTGGTTTATGACCTCTCTTTGGACTACCATCATCTGTGTCACTTATCTCTGGACTGTAGTCCTCCCCTTTTCTGATTGATTTATCTATACCTTTCATATCATCCATACTCTGTTCCATTTCAAGCATTCTGAAACTTTTACGTTTAGATCGTGATGATCGCCTAATGTTGCCATCATCTGATTCTTGACTACTTGTAACTGAATCCTCTCTTTTCATATCTGTTTCTGCCTTTGCTGTTTGCTTCACTGGTGCCTTTCTCTTTCCCTTACTTGTAGCAGCTTTATCAATATTGTCTTGAGATTTAATTGAAGCAGTTTCTGATCTTTTAGGTCTTCCTCTTCCTTTTCCTTTCGTTTGGGCTCCAAGATGATGGTCATCCTCTACAATATCAGTGGTATCTGGTGGAACTGCTAATGTGGCATCGTCTTGGACTGCATCAGAGGTATCATCCTGGATTGCAACAGTTGCAGCATCTTGAATACTAGTTGTGGCATCCTCTGCAACAGCAACTGTGTCACCTTGTATTGCTAAGGTAGCTTCTTCTTGAATTGCAACTGTTGAGTCTCCTTGAAGAGCTAAAGTGGCATCTCCATGAACTGATAGAGTAGCATCTCCATGAAAAGCAACAGTGGCATCTCCATGAACAGAGACTGTGGCTTCAGGTAATGCTAAAGTGGCATCCCCATGAACATCAACAGTAGCATCTCCATGAATGTTAACAGTGGCATCTCCATGAACAGCCACTGTGGCATCATCCTGAACTGCTAATGTGGCATCTTCATGAACTGCTACTGTGGCATCTTCTTGAACTGCTACTGTGGCATCATCTTGAACTATTACTGTGGCTTCTTCTTGAACAGCTACTGTGGCATCTTCTTGAACAGCCACAGTGGCATCATCAAATGCCACTTTCTTAGATGGACAAGCTACTTCTTTGACAACTTGAGTAGCATCATCACCATTTACCCTAACATCTGGGAAAACCTGAGTAGCTTCGTCACCTCCATCAACTGCTTGTGTGGGTTCATCTAGAATGGCTTGTGTTTCCATTTCTTGATCAACTGTGTCATCAGCTGTTATCACTTGTCTTCCACCCTCCTCAGGAAAATCATCAACATCACATGCTAAAGTGGAAGTAGCAAACAAATGGCTGACATCCTCGTCAGATTCTACAACAGTTTCTCCTTCATCCTACAAATAAAACAGTAAATTAAACAAAGATCAATACTAGAACTTTGAGACTTAATGATAGGCTTTGAAAAAACTATTTTTTACTTTTATTTTAAGTAATGCATTGTACCAACCATTTTTTCCTTTTTTTATTAAATATAACATGTAATTTAAAGTAATTTGCACCAAAAATTAAGCAATGATTTGAACAGCTCTTGTATTTATTCTGATCGGCCTTCTCTAATACTTACCTCATCAATGATGTATATAGAAAATATAAAGTAGCAGATAAAATGAAGAAAAACATATTGCTAATCAGTCTATTGATTTTTAAGCAGTTAATTTATCTTCTTTCCATCGCAAGATGTGTTAATAAATAAACTGTTATCACAGAGATATGTCTCGCCTTTTTGTAAATTTGATAATGCAAATGTTGAAATTAAAATAGCAATACTTTATCATGTAAGTTATGCAAATATTCAAAGTCGATCAACCATGACTGAAGGTACATGGCTAAACAATCTCCATGGAATGAGATGTGCCAATACTAATACAACTGCATACCAAATACCACTGACTTATTATAAGTTGTTCCCTTTAAACAAACCTAAACACAAACATAAACTTGTAAACTATGTAAAAGATTCAAAGTCAATGAATCATGATCAGGGATGGGGCTATATAATCTCCATGGAAACGATATTTGCAAATGCCAATACATTTGCATACCAAATATCATTGACTTAACATTAGCAGTTCATCTCAAACTGATCTAATCACAAACTAATACATGTAAACTAAGCAAAAGTTTTAAAGTCAATAGACCATGACTGAGGGGGCGGGGCCAAATATTCTCCCTCCATGGAAATGAGATGTGCTAATGCTTATACAACTGAACACAAATTAACAATGACCTACCACTAATGGTTCCCCTTGAACTGACCTAATCACAAACTAATACATGTTAATTTAGCAAAATTTTCAAAGTCTATAGACCATGACTAAGGGGACGGAGCCAAATAATCTCCATGGAAATGAGATATGCCAATGCTTATACAACTGCATACCAAATATCATTGACCTACCACTAGTAGTTCCCCATAAATTGACCTAATCACAAACTAAAACATGTAAACTATGAAAAGTTTCAAAGTCAATAGACCTTGACTGAGGGGGCGGGGCCAAATAATCTCCATTGTAATGAGATGTGCCAATGCTAATACAACTGCATACCAAATATCATTGACCTACCACAAGTGGTTCCCCATAAATTGACCTAATCACAAACTAATACATGTAAACTATGAAAAGTTTCAAAGTCAATAGACCTTGACTGAGGGGGCGGGGCCAAATAATCTCCATGGTAATGAGATGTGCCAATGCTTATACAACTGCATACCAAATATCATTGACCTACCACTAGTGGATCACCATGAACTAGACCTAATCACAAACTACTACATTGTTGACGCCGACACCGGAAACAGCATACCTATGTCTCGCTTTTTGACTCCGTCAAGGCAAGACAAAATGTAGAAAAGCCTTATACTAACCTCTGTTGTTTGTGTAGGCTCATCAAAATAATCTGTATGGTAGGCCTGAGTAGCTCCATACTGTAATGCTTTCTACAAAGAATACAAATCAAAATGATGATTAAGTGTATACTATATACAAACAAGCTTTCAACAAAGTATACAAATCACAATCATGATTAAGTGTATACTATATACAAACAAGCTTTCAACAAAGAATACAAATCAAAATCATGATTAAGTATATACTATATACAAACAAGCTTTCAACAAAGTATACAAATCACAATCATGATTAAGTGTATACTGTATACAAACAAGCTTTCAACAAAGAATACAAATCAAAATCATGATTAAGTATATACTACCGTAATCGGGCTTGTATAGTTCGCACTGGTACATAGTCCGCACCCCCTTCTCCCCACGAAATTTCAGGTAAAAAAACTTTTTGTAACTGTTAGAAAAGGTCTAATGAAACTTTTTTTTAAAGATGTGTGGTCGTTTGCGGTATTTTCTTGGAAAAACCTATTTTCCATCACAAAACAGAAGCTAAAACTGCTTGTAAATGGTTCTAAAACACTTCACGCTGGTTAAAATAAGTCTAAATCACACAAAAAAACAATTTGAAAACTTGTGTATGTTTAAACTGGAAGTTTGAAAAGCACGTGTAAAAGATGAAAAAAAAAACCGGTGAGAATCGAAATCCGTACATAATAGATATCACTATAATACAACTTTGAAAGTAAAACATTTCCTTCCTTATGTAAAACAGTGTTTAATATATCTATCACATTAATGTTTGAAGGGTCTTAAGCTAATATAAAACATATTTGTCAATAGGAAACACCAAAACGGAACGAATAATAACCGATTACGTTTTGTAGTTTACACATCGTGAGCTGGTTTACGGTTGTCTTTTTTTACTTTTTTTGTACGATTTCATTCAAGCAGATACCAGTTTATATTTAGCAATGCATTGAAAAGAAACGAGAATTTTGTAATGAAGCATTGCATTTTAAAATTTATCAGTATTAATTTGATATTGAATAAAAATAACTTATTAATATGGATTGGGTAAAATTATTGGTTTGAAAAATGATAAGAGCGCCCTCTACAATGTCAATAACAAACATGGCGGAACATAAACAAACCACATCGCGAAATTGAAATTTTCTCTCTTATTTCTTGCTTATTGTACTCTATAGTCCGCACCCCTGCTGTCAGGGTCAATTTTGGAGAATAAAACAGCGGACTATACAAGCCTTTTAACGGTATATACAAACAAGCTTTCAACAAAGTATACAAATCACAATCATGATTAAGTGTATACTATATACAAACAAGCTTTCAACAAAGAATACAAATCAAAATCATGATTAAGTATATACTATATACAAACAAGCTTTCAACAAAGTATACAAATCACAATCATGATTAAGTGTATACTGTATACAAACAAGCTTTCAACAAAGAATACAAATCAAAATCATGATTAAGTATATACTACCGTAATCGGGCTTGTATAGTTCGCACTGGTACATAGTCCGCACCCCCTTCTCCCCACGAAATTTCAGGTAAAAAAACTTTTTGTAACTGTTAGAAAAGGTCTAATGAAACTTTTTTTTAAAGATGTGTGGTCGTTTGCGGTATTTTCTTAGAAAAACCTATTTTCCATCACAAAACAGAAGCTAAAACTGCTTGTAAATGGTTCTAAAACACTTCACGCTGGTTAAAATAAGTCTAAATCACACAAAAAAACAATTTGAAAACTTGTGTATGTTTAAACTGGAAGTTTGAAAAGCACGTGTAAAAGATAAAAAAAAAAAAAAACGGTGAGAATCGAAATCCGTACATAATAGATATCACTATAATACAACTTTGAAAGTAAAACATTTCCTTCCTTATGTAAAACAGTGTTTAATATATCTATCACATTAATGTTTGAAGGGTCTTAAGCTAATATAAAACATATTTGTCAATAGGAAACACCAAAACGGAACGAATAATAACCGATTACGTTTTGTAGTTTACACATCGTGAGCTGGTTTACGGTTGTCTTTTTTTACTTTTTTTGTACGATTTCATTCAAGCAGATACCAGTTTATATTTAGCAATGCATTGAAAAGAAACTAGAATTTTGTAATGAAGCATTGCATTTTAAAATTTATCAGTATTAATTTGATATTGAATAAAAATAACTTATTAATATGGATTGGGTAAAATTATTGGTTTGAAAAATGATAAGGGCGCCCTCTACAATGTCAATAACAAACATGGTGGAACATAAACAAACCACATTGCGAAATTGAAATTTTCTCTCTTATTTCTTGCTTATTGTACTCTATAGTCCGCACCCCTGCTGTCAGGGTCAATTTTGGAGAATAAAACAGCGGACTATACAAGCCTTTTAACGGTATATACAAACAAGCTTTCAACAAAGTATACAAATCACAATCATGATTAAGTGTATACTATATACAAACATGCTTTCAACAAAGAATACAAATCATAATCATGATTAAGTATTTACTATATACAAACAAGCTATCTGAAGGTATGGCATAGGCACTACAAGTTAATATTGGAAAAGCATTCAAGTGAGAATATTTACAGTAGCTATTCAATTCAGAAAAAATGCTGATCTTAAACTAAAACACAAATCATTTGATTCCGTCATATGTTTCCAATTTGTATGAAACAAAAAGGATTATTGATAATTTGAATAATTAATAGAAATATGTTAACAATAAATTATTATTCTATGATATAGATGTACAATAATTATATAAATTTGATAAATATTTTACGATCTATCTTCTTTGAAACCAACATCTTCATGATAAAGTCCCACAATTCTCATGAAATGGTTTAATGAATAGGATGACACAATATTGTCAACTAAACATGATGGCAAACAAACCTACCAAGTAAGAGAGTTTTCTTTCAAATGGTGTCAGAGGAGTTGCATTCCCAAAGTGTTATTGTGGTACAAAAGTAAAAAGTCAAATTCCTATAACTCCCGAAAAAAAATGGTCAAATCTAAATGACCATATAAGTATGAAAGCTATCTCTCCAATGGTCTCAGAGGATTTGCGTTTACTAAAAGTAATTGTGGTTCATTAGAAAATAAATGGGGAATGTGTCCATGGGACACGAAAATGCCCCCACTTGCATATAATGTTATAAAGGGACATAACTCAAGATCTGTAAAAGTGACGCTACACAAATTTGTACTTGATCTGAATTTTGTGGTAATAAGCATTGTGTATACGTTTCATAACACTTAGTTGAGGCAAACTAAAGTTAGAGAACGGAAACGAAAAATTTAGCAATTTTTTCATTTGTAAAGGGGCATAACTCTATGGTGAAAGCGACGCCACCAAAATTCAAACTTGATCTGTGTTTTGTGGTAATAAGCATTGTGTAACGGTTTCATAACGGAAACGAAAAATTCAGCAATATTTCCATTTGTAAAGGGGCATAACTCTGGAACAGTAAAAGCATTGCCACCAAATTTCAAACTTGGTCTGTGTTTTAAGGTAATAAGCATTGTGTATTAGTTTTTATAACATTTGGTTAAGGCAAACTAAAGTTAGAGAACGGAAACGAAAAATTTAGCAATTTTTCCATTTGGAAAGGGGCACAACTCTAGAACGGTACAAGTGAAACCACCAAAATTCTATCTTGATCTGTGTTTTGTGGTAATTAGCATTGTGTATAAGTTTCATATTATTTGGTTGAGGCAAACTAAAGTTAGAGAACGGAAACCAATTATGGGACGTACGTACAGAGGTACAGACAGACAAGGATATAACTTAATGCCCCCTCCGCTACAGCGGGGGCATTAAAAAATGGTCCAAGTTTTCTAACTCCCATAAAAATTGTCAAATCAAAATGACAGTATAATATGGTCAACAACATATGATGGCCAACAGTCCTACAAGAGGGTTTCTGAATCAATGAACTTGGTCTCTATGAGAGGATTACTGATTTATTGAACCTGGTCTTAAAACAATTACTGATTTAGTCAACCTGTTCTCTATGAGAGGATAACTGATTCAGTGAACCTGGTCTTAAAACAATTACTGATTTAGTCAACCTGTTCTCTATGAGAGGATTATTGATTCAGTGAACCTGGTCTTAAACAATTACTGATTTAGTCAACCTGTTCTCTATGACAGGATTATTGATTCAGTGAACCTGTTCTCTATGAGAGGGTTACTGATTCAGTGAACGTACTTTCTATAAGAGGATAACTGTTTCAGTGAACCTTCCTCTATGAAATGATTATTAATTCAGTGAACCTGGTCTCTGAGAGGGTTCATTATGGCAGGATTACTGGTTTACCTTTCTATCATCTTCTTCCTCTTCGTCACTCTCTGCCACAAATGTCTGAGTTGGTTCTATTTGCTGTCTGTAAAATACAAAAAAAAACCACAATATTCAATCTTACTCTACAACTTTATGACAGACATTCTCCATCGGATAACACATGGTTATACAGGGTTAGACCATAATATATATATAATTCGTCATAAAATTGTCACATGTTAAGACGTGTATAAAAAAATTAAAATTTGATGTGGCGGCATTAGGTTTGATTTGATTTTTGGTGTTTTAACGCCACTTTTAAGCACCGCTTTTGGGCTATTTTGTGGCCACCAGTTTTTATTGGTAGAGGAAGCCGGAGTGCCTGGAGAAAACCACGACCTTTGATAGGAAAACTGACAATCCTAGTCAATTAAGATTGGAGTCGAGTGCACCTGCACGAGCGGGGTTCGAACTCACAACCTCAGTGTTGACTAGCTAGTGATTACAGTAGTAACTACTTAGACCACTCGGCCACCGAGGCCCCAAGCGGCCTTAGGAGTATCGTCAAGGATGATAATGTTAATAACCATGCCACCACATCAAATTCTATTATACACGTCTAAACATGTGACAACTTTATGAAAAATTATATATATATTATGGTGTTAGCCCTGTATAACCACGTGTTATCCGATGGAGAATGTCTGTCATAAAGTTGTCACATGTTTTATAAGACGTGTATAATAAAATTAAAATTTGATGTGGAGGCATAGTAATTATCATTATCATCCTTTACGACAGACAAAATAGCTGAACAGAAAGGTACACCATCTAATTGTCACTATACATCATGTACTGTGTTACAAACCTAGATAAAGCCGATGAGGAAAGGCATTACATCGACCACTGAAAGCTATATTTTTATGTAGCCTAGGTAGTCCAATGGTCTAGGGCGCTGGACACAGTGCAGGCGGTGTTGCCATGATGTCATAGAAGCAAGGGTTCGAATCCATCTGAGGGAAGAACAAAAATTTGCTAACGCAAATTTGAAGATCTAACTTTGTTGGGCTAAATTTGAGACGAATTATATATATATATATAAATGAATCCACAGTATATATATATTACTGTGGATTCATTATTTTTGTAAGGGACAATTTTCTCTGGATTAAGGAAACATATATTTTTGTGGACGTTTCATTTCATGGATTTGTATAAGTCTGCATTCAAGCTTACAGAAAATTTGTACTTTGTTGAACATTAAAATTTGGGGTTCATCTGTACCCACGAAATCCACAACATCTATACCAACGAAATCCACAACATCTATACCCACGAAATCCATATCTATACCCACGAAATCCACATCTATACCCATGAAATCCACAACATCTGTACCCACGAAATCCACAACATCTATACCCACGAAATCCACAACATCTATACCCAAGAAATCCAAAACATCTGTACCCACGAAATCCACAACATCTGTACCCACGAAATCCACAACATCTGTACCAACGAAATCCACAACATCTATACCCACGAAATCCACAACATCTTTACCCACGAAATCCACAACATCTTTACCCACGAAATCCACAACATCTATACCCACAAAAATCCACAACATCTTTACCCACGAAATCCACAACATCTTTACCCACGAAATCCACAACATCTATACCCACAAAAAATCCACAACATCTATACCCATGAAATCCACAACATCTTTACCCACGAAATCCACAACATCTATACCCCAAAATCTACAACATCTATACCCATGAAATCCACAAAAATTGCCGCTGATCAATTAATAATGAATCCACAGTATGTGATAGTGTGTGTAATGTATGTAGGACATGTTTATAATCATATAACCATTTAATTATCTGTTCATGTCTCAATATCTATATAAAAATTAATAAAATGCTCCGCTGGGGGCAGCTTGATACGACCGCAGAGGTCGAACCCTGAACAGTTGGGGCAAGTATGGACACAACATTCAAGCACAGAATTTGGATTGTGATTAAATATTTGACACAGCACAGGTTTCTGACACAGAATGAGTGTGGTCTAAGAACTTAAAAATTTTTCATTTACCTATTCAAACCATATCATTATTATTTGCTTTTATATATAAATCAGAAATAACCAATTTTTAAAGAACCCCCCCCCAATTTTTTGAACCCCCTTATGATTCATCACCCCCAAACTCAATCCCAGCCTTCCCTATGTGGTATGGTACCTGCAGTACAATTTCAGAGAGATCCATACACTTGAACACAAGTTATTGTCTGGAAACTAGAAAATGCTTGTTTTTTGGCCCCAAATTTCTAAACGTTTAGGGCAATTACCCCCAAACTCAAACCCAGCTTTCCCTTTGTGATATGGAACCTTGTAGTACAATTTCATAAAGATCCATACACTTACACACAAGTTATTGTCATGAAACTAGAAAAATGCTTGTTTTTTGCCCCTTTTTTTGCCCCTAATTCCTAATATTTTGAGGCAATTACCCCCAAAATCAATCCCAGCATTCCATGTGTGATATGGAACCTTGTGGTACAATGTCAGAGAGATCAATACACTAACACACAAGTTATGTCTGGAAGTTACAAAAATGCTTATTATTGGCCCCTAATTCCTTAACTGTTGGTACCATAACCCCCAAAATCAATCCCAACCTTCCTTTTGTGGTATTGAACCTTATGGTAAAATTTCATAGAGATCCATTCACTTAAACTAAAGCTAGAGTGCGAAAAACCAAAGTGTCTTCGGATGACGACGATGACGCCGGACTACGACGACGCCACCGTCATACCAATATACTACCGCAAAAATTGTTTGCGGTCGTATAAAAACCAATTGTTCAGAGACACTTGAAGGTCTTTCCACATTACATTTCTAAATAAAGTTACTTTTGGCATCCAATCATGGGTTTCTTCATTCATTATTAAATAAATATATAGATTCTATATACTTTTGACTTAAACTTTGGAGATAATTTGCTACTTCCGGTTAGGAAAATGTCATTTCTGGTCTCATAAGATAGCTTACTTTCCTCTGATTCCGAAAATCTATGGTTTCTATATACTTTTCATTCAAATAAGGGAGATAATTAGCTACTTCCGGTTTTCCAAAGGCGACTTTGGGTGTCATTAAAAGGTTATTGTATGTTGATTCTAAAAATATGTAGTTTTTAAGTATATTTCCCGTGAATTACTGAAAAAATAACTACTTCCAGTTTGCACAAGGTCACTTCCGGTTGATATTTTTCAAGGTCATATGTCACTCAACCCTTTGAAAAAGACACAATGGCTTTATCATGTACCAGAATGAAGTTATATTCGATTTACCTTAAATCTTAAAATTTTAGCTTTGGACCAAATATACCATTTCTTCATCTCAACAACCCAAACATTTTGCATCAATTCTTTTGTATCTAGATTTCAGAGTTTGAGAGGAGATGCACACACTATCAAAGGGGAAAATTTAGAATATGACCTTGACCTGATTTTCCAAGTTATGACTCAAGGATCTCAAATCAAAAGTCCTAAGGTCTTTACGGCTTACGGTTAATGAGTTACACTAACATTCTGAAAAATAAATAGTGACGGGTAGATAACTCCTGTAAAATGTCACTGGATTGCTTCGATCCAAATTAGCCAAAAATTTCTGAGGATGTAACGAACAATTCAGAAAAAGGATTTTGTCAGTATCTTTTTTTGTTACGAAGGAGATGCATACACAAGATAAACAGTGAATGGGGAGATAACTCTTATAAAGAAAATTGTTCAGCTTAGCAGGGTGAGTTTTAAAAGCGAAACAAAAATCTATCACAAGAACAAAGTTTGGCGGAAGAAAAAAAAAAAGAATAATAATCAGAACAAATACAATAGGTCTTTCCACTTCTCTCTAATAAGGAGATGTGGTATGAGATGAAGTTCAAATGAAGTGGATGTAAGCAATTATAGGCAACCATATAGCCTTCAACACTGAAAAAAACTCATACTGTTTAGTTGGCTATAAAAGGCCCTGACATGAAAAATATGAAACAATTTAATTGAGAAAACAGCCTAATTTAAAACAAACCAATTTATAAAAACAAACATGACAGACATGAGCCAACGACAACCACTGAACTACAGGCCCCATGACCTGGGACAGGCACATTTGAATGTGGTGAGGTTTAACATTTTTGGAGGCACCAACCCTCCCCCTATCCTGGGACAATGAGTGGTGTAACACAAGAACAAATTTTACAAAACAATAAACATTAAACAAATACGAGAAACAGCAGTAAATGACAACCACTCATTTACAGGCTCCCGACTTGTGACAGGCACATTTAGAACATGGCGGGGTTAAACATGTTTGAAGGCTAATGACTTTTTATATTAAGGTAAGAATTTTCCCCTACCTGTCTTGTACATCTGTAAATGCTTGTGTAGGTTCTGTTAATAATTTTTTATCTTCCTCATCAGTAACATCTAAAATGAAAGGATGAATTCATTATTGGCTTAAGACGAAAAACCTGTCGGACACATGTCTACCTGTGCACCTGTCCGACACATCTTTTATGTGAACCTTACTGTGTACAACTATGCAATAGTATATTTTTCAAGAATCAGTACATGTAATTCAGATATGAAAAGCTATTATTTTTTTTTATTTGTAATTTGACCTGTCTGTCTGCATTTATTTGTAATTTGATCTGTTTACCTGTATTTATTAGAAATTTAATTTCATATCTTAACTTTTTAATTATAATTTAGACCTATGTGTAACTTCTTGATTTAAAAAAAAATAAATTGCTTCAACGAGTGCAGCTGGATACGACCGCAGAGGTCCAACTCTGAACAGGTGGGGCAAAAATGGACGCAATATTCACGCTTGATACAGGTCTGAATTTGGATTGTAATTAAATATTTGACACATAAAAGGTTTCTGACACAGATTAATTGCAGTCAAAGAACTTAGAATTGGTTATATGATTTGAATTTATATTCAATTTTTTGCTTTTGTGCAATACACTTTGCTGTTGCGAATTGACCCCCCTCGCCCCACCCAAAAAAAATAAATTTGCCCCCCTCTTTTTTTTGCCTCTGTGCAATACACTATGCTGTTGCGTATTAACCCCCACACACAAAGACACAATAATATAATATTTGAAGAATTTTTCTTTTTAATTTCTGAAATCTGAAATGAGAAATAATTGACCCCCCACAATGTCTTTTTACCCCCCCCCCCCCTTTTTTTTCCCAAAAAAGGATTCTAGAAATCATGGCAATTTTATTCTCACAATCCTTTCTAAAGGAAACAAGTTATCTTGTAACAGTTAGTGTGAAACAATGCATGCTGGTCATAATGATATTCTAGAATTCTATCTTATAGGTTTTATTGGACTTACCATGTAATCACCACATTAAAACCATTGTTAAGTGTAACTCTCCTCTATATAATATTATGTAGCTGAAGATATAACTTGTCTAGTATTGAACCTACCTCCGACATCACTCTCTCCAACATAAGCCTGTGTTTGGGCATAAAGTATTTCAGCATCACCACTTTCATCCTTCTGTGTGTCTAGAAAACAAAAAAGACATGACAATCAGTTAAATAAAAAAACATATGACTGAGACATTATAATTATTCTTTTGCATTTTTCTTTTACTAAATGTAAAAAAAAAAGACCATGGTATATCCTACTACCAAAATAAATTCCTTTTCTAAATTTTCCTCCTAGATAAGACATATGTGGTTGTGTTTTTCACTGATAAGTTGATCAGTTTGGTGATAGGGCATGTCATTTACCTTATTGGTGAAATAAAAACAATATATTTATCAGATTTTCACAAATTATGTATAAAAACACAAAACACAAACCCTCTGTTTTAGTTAAGTTTGTGTTGCTCAGTCTTTAGTTTTCTATACAATGTTTTTGTCGAGCCTTCGACTTTTGTCGAAAAAGAGAGACATAGTGATCCTACATTCCGTAGGCGTCGTCGTCGGCGCGTCCGCAAATATTCACTCTGTGGTTAAAGTTTTTGAAATTTTAATAACTTTCTTAAACTATCCTGGATTTCTACCAAACTTGGACAGAAGCTTGTTTATGATCATAAGATAATATTCAAAAGTAAATTTTGTAAAAAAAAATATTTTTTCCGTATTTTACTTATAAATGGACTTAGTTTTTCTGCCAGGAAACATTACATTCACTCTGTGGTTAAAGTTTTTGAAATTTTAATAACTTTCTTAAACTATTCTGGATTTCTACCAAACTTGGAAAGAAGCTTGTTTATGATCATAAGATAGTATCCAGAAGTAAATTTTGTAAAAAAAATATTCCAGTTTTTCCGTATTTTACTTATAAATGGACTTAGTTTTTCTGCCAGTAAGCATTACATTCACTCTGTGGTTAAAGTTTTTCAAATTTTAATAACTTTCTTAAACTATCCTGGATGTGTACCAAACTTGGACAGAAGCTTGTTTATGATTAAAAGCTAGTATCTACAAGGAAATGTTGTTAAAATTTTGTTCCATTTTTTCCGTATTTTACTTATTAATGGACTTAGTTTTTCTTCCAGTTAACATTACATACAGTCTGCAGTTTAAGTTTTTAAAACATTTATTAGATTCATAAACTATCAAATTTGGACAGAAGCTACTTACAATCAAAAGATAGTATAGAGAGGAATATTTTTAATTAATTTCTTTCCTCATTTTTGTTGAGCCTGCGATTAACAGCAAAAGTAGGCGAGACACTGGGTTCCGCGCAAACCTTACAAATTTTTTTTTTTAACTAGTTTGACTTTTTCCATATTGCCAGTTTTGTCTGTCTTTTGACTTATGCTTTAAGTATTCAGTGTTTGAGTTATATTTTTTTTTTACCTTCAATAACCAGTGTTTGAGGTCCATTTTTTTCTTACCTTTAAAAACCAGTGTTTGAGGTCCATTTTTTTCTTACCTTCAATAACCAGTGTTTGAGATCCATTATTTTCTTACCTTCAATAACCAGTGTTTGAGGTAAATTTTTTTTCTTACCTTCAATAACCAGTGTTTCAGGTTCATTTTTTTTTTACCTTCAATAACCAGTGTTTGAGGCATATTTTTTTTTTACCTTCAATAACCAGGGTTTGAGGTACATTTTGTTTCTTACCTTCAATAACCAGTGTTTGAGGTACATTTTTATCTTACCTTCAATAACCAGTGTTTGAGGTACATTTTTGTTCTTACCTTCAATAACCAGCGTTTGAGGTACATTTTTTTTTACCTTCAATAACCAGTGTTTGAGGTACATTTTTGTCTTACCGAGGTACATTTTTGTTCTTACCTTCAATAACCAGCGTTTGAGGTACATTTTTTTTTACCTTCAATAACCAGTGTTTGAGGTACATTTTTGTCTTACCGAGGTACATTTTTTTCTTACCTTCAATTACCAGTGTTTGAGGTACATTTTTTTTCTTACCTTCAATAACCAGCGTTTGAAGTACATTTTTTTTTACCTTCAATAACCAGTGTTTGAGGTACATTTTTTTTTACCTTCAATAACCAGGGTTAGAGGTACATTTTGTTTCTTACCTTCAATAACCAGTGTTTGAGGTATATTTTTATCTTACCTTCAATAACCAGCGTTTTAGGTACATTTTTTTTTACCTTCAATAACCAGTGTTTAAGGTACAATTTTTTTCTTACCTTCAATAACCAGCGTTTGAGGTACAATTTTTTTTTTACCTTCAATAACCAGTGTTTGAGGTACATTTTTTTTCTTACCTTCAATAACCAGCGTTTGAGGTACATTTTTTTTTTACCTTCAATAACCAGTGTTTGAGGTACATTTTTGTCTTACCGAGGTACATTTTTTTTCTTACCATCAATAACCAGCGTTTGAGGTTCATTTTTTTTTTACCTTAAATAACCAGTGTTTGAGGTACATTTTGCTTCTTACCTTCAATAACCAGTGTTTGGGGTACATTTTGTTTCTTACCTTCAATAACCAGTGTTTGGGGTACATTTTGTTTCTTACCTTCCATTACCAGTGTTTGGGGTACATATTGTTTCTTACCTTCCATTACCAGTGTTTTGGGTACATTTTGTTTCTTACCTTCCATTACCAGTGTTTGGGGTACATTTTGTTTCTTACCTTCCATTACCAGTGTTTGAGGTACATTTTTTTTCTTACCTTCAATTGCCAGTGTTTGAGGTACATTTTTTTCTTACCTTCAATAACCAGTGTTTGGGGTACATTTTTTTTCTTACCTTCAATAACCAGTGTTTGGGGTACATTTTTAGATAAAGCATCTTCATCTTCTGTTTCAGAACCAGAATCATCAATTACTGGACCAGATGTTACTGTAAGGATTAAATACAAGACTTCATAAACAAATGGCTCGTTATTAAAAACTGCAATAACTTATCAAACATCAATGTGTAAGTAATGTGTAAGTAATGTCAAGAATAACATAAATTAAGCCAATATAATGTTGACAGATGTAATATTAATTAAATTCCATGGAATAATATTCTGTGACAAGTAGATCAACCTAAACCTTACCCCATTTGATCAGTAAGAATAAAGCATTTTAAATACATTGACTGACTCTGAACGTGATAAGCTACCAAAAAACCACTAGCTGGAGTGTTGTAAGGAAACATCTCATTAAATTTTGAAAGAAGACTGACTAACTGTGTAAGATTACAATTAAATACTTAAGAAAATTTGATACCTTTTTGCCGTGCTGGTGCAGGAGTCTCACCAACTAGTACTGTAGTCTCTATTTGAAAAATAACGAAAACTTCAATTTCAAACTAAAATTTGGTATTTCACTTGCACTATTTCAAAATAAATATATCATTTTCTATTTCCTGTTCCCAATTAATTTGTCTCCTAACTTATAGTTTACCATTTTATATAAAGCTATGATATGTTTTTTATCAGCTATAAATCTTAGAAGAAATCTCTTAAGTCAGATTACATTTCTATTTTTAGATACATGTTATGGCATAACTGATAAAGACTCAAGGATTCCTCATGCACAAGAAAGAAAGGACAGCAAGAATAACAAATAATCTTTTCTGCACAAAACTTCAGAAGTAATGGAGAAATTCTGTGAAGCATCCTTCTTTTCCAATGAAACTTGCCAATATGCAGAAATGTTAAAGTTTGTTTTATTGTTAAAAACTACAAAATCAATCTGACAAAAATGAATGTTAAGGTGAACTTCTACACATGGTTATTCTGTCAAATTCATTCTCATCTTTTGTCAACTGTAGGACATTTTGAATTCGGGAACTTTTCTGACAATCAGACAAACAGAACAAAAACAGACATTTTAAACTTAAATGCTGTAATAGTCTGACTAAATAAGGTCAATGAAATCTTGAACAGTGGTCAAGCTCAAATTAAACCTATCAGATTTTCAGAGAAATAATAAAATGCTTCGCTGGGGCGCAGCTTGATACGACCGCAGAGGTCGAAACCCTGAACAGTTGGGGCAAGTATGGACACAACATTCAAGCTTGATACAGCTCTGAATTTGGATTGTTATTAAATATTTGACACAGCATAGGTTTCTGACACAGAAAGAATGTGGTCTAAGAACTTGAATTTTTTTAATTAACCTATTATGGTCCAATATCCAAAATCTAAATACATGGTTAGATTCAGCATATCAAAGAACCCCAAGAATTCAATTTTTGATGAAATCAAACAAAGTTTAATTTTGGACCCTTTTGACCTCAATATGAACCAATTTGATAGCGGGGCCCACAAATAAAAAATCTAAATTCATGGTTAGATTCAGCATATCAAAGAACCCCATATATTCAATTTTTGTTGAAATAAAAAAAAGTTTAATTTTGGACCCCAACTTGGACAAACTTGAAAACTGGGCCCATAATCAAAAATCTAAACACATGTTTAGATTCAGCATATCAAAGAACCCCAAGAATTCAATTTTTGCTAAAATCAAACTAAGTTTAATTTTGGACCCTTTGGACCTTAATGTAGACCAATTTAAAAAACAGGACTTAAAATCAAAAATCTAAATACACGGTTAGATTTGGAATATCAAAGAACCCCAATAATTCAATTTTTGATGAAATCAAACAAAGTTTAATTTTGGACCCTTTTGACCTCAATATGAACCAATTTGATAGCGGGGCCCATAAATAAAAAATCTAAATTCATGGTTAGATTCAGCATATCAAAGAACCCCATATATTCAATTTTTGTTGAAAGAAAAAAAAGTTTAATTTTGGACCCCAACTTGGACCAACTTGAAAACTGGGCCCATAATCAAAAATCTAAATACATGTTTAGATTCAGCATATCAAAGAACCCCATATATTCAATTTTTGTTGAAATCAAACAAAGTTTAAATACTGGACCCTATCTTGGACCAACTTGAAAACTGGGCCCATAATCAAAAATCTAAACACATGTTTAGATTCGGCATATCAAAGAACCCCAAGAATTCAATTTTTGTTAAAATTAAACTAAGTTTAATTTTGGACCCTTTGGACCTTAATGTAGACCAATTTAAAAAAAAGGACCCAAAATTAAGAATCTAAATACACGGTTAGATTTGGAATATCAAAGAACCCCAATAATTCAATTTTAGATGAAATCAAACAAAGTTTAATTTTGGACCCTTTTGACCTCAATATGAACCAATTTGATAACGGGGTCCACAAATAAAAAATCTAAATACATGGTTAGATTCAGCATATCAAAGAACCTCATATATTCAATTTTTGTTGAAATCAAACAAAGTTTAATTTTGGACCCCAATTTGGACCAACTTGAAAACTGGGCCCATAATCAAAAATCTAAATACATATTTAGATTCAGCATATCAAAGAACCCCATATATTCAATTTTTGTTGAAATCAAACAAAGTTTAAATACTGGACCCTATCTTGGACCAACTTGAAAACTGGGCCCATAATCAAAAATCTAAACACATGTTTAGATTCAGCAAATCAAAGAACCCCAAGAATTCAATTTTTGTCAAAATCAAACTAAGTTTAATTTTGGACCCTTTGGACCTCAATGTAGACCAATTTAAAAAACAGGACCCAAAATTAAAAACCTAAATACACGGTTAGATTTGGAATATCAAAGAACCCCAATAATTCAATTTTAGATGAAATCAAACAAAGTTTAATTTTGGACCCTTTTGACCTCAATATGAACCAATTAGATAACAGGGTCCACAAATAAAAAATCTAAATACATGGTTAGATTCAGCATATCAAAGAACCCCATATATTCAATTTTTGTTGAAATCAAACAAAGTTTAATTTTGGACCCCAATTTGGACCAACTTGAAAACTGGGCCAAAAATCAAAAAAATGCTTCGCTGGGGCGCAGCTTCATACGACCGCAGAGGTCGAACCCTGAACAGTTAGGGCAAGTATGGACACAACATTCAAGCTTGATACAGCTCTGAATTTGGATTGTTATTAAATATTTGACACAGCATAGTTTTCTGACACAGAAAGAATGTGGTCTAAGAACTTGAATTTTTTTAATTTACCTATTATGGTCCAATGTCCAAAATCAAAATACATGGTTAGATTCAGCATATCAAAGAACCCCATATATTCAATTTTTGTTAAAATCAAACAAAGTTTAATTTTGGACCCCAACTTGGACAAACTTGAAAACTGGGCCCATAATCAAAAATCTAAACACATGTTTAGATTCAGCATATCAAAGAACCCCAAGAATTCAATTTTTGCTAAAATCAAACTAAGTTTAATTTTGGACCCTTTGGACCTTAATGTAGACCAATTTAAAAAACGGGACTTAAAATTAAAAATCTAAATACACGGTTAGATTTGGAATATCAAAGAACCCCAATAATTCAATTTTTGATGAAATCAAACAAAGTTTAATTTTGGACCCTTTTGACCTCAATATGAACCAATTTGATAGCAGGGCCCACAAATAAAAAATCTAAATTCATGGTTAGATTCAGCATATCAAAGAACCCCATATATTCAATTTTTGTTGAAATCAAAAAAAAGTTTAATTTTGGACCCCAACTTGGACCAACTTGAAAACAGGGCCCATAATCAAAAATCTAAACACATGTTTAGATTCAGCATATCAAAGAACCCCAAGAATTCAATTTTTGTTAAAATCAAACTAAGTTTAATTTTGGACCCTTTGGACCTCAATGAAGACCAATTTAAAAAACGGGACCCAAATTAAAAATCTAAAAACACGGTTAGATTTGGCATATCAAAGAACCCCAATAATTCAATTTTCGATGAAATCAAACAAAGTTTAATTTTGGACCCTTTTGACCTCAATATGAACCAATTTGATAGCGGGGCCTACAAATAAAAAATCTAAATACATGGTTAGATTCAGCATATCAAAGAACCTCATATATTCAATTTTTGTTGAAATCAAACAAAGTTTAATTTTGGACCCCAATTTGGACCAACTTGAAAACTGGGCCCATAATCAAAAATCTAAATACATGTTTAGATTCAGCATATCAAAGAACCCCATATATTCAATTTTTGTTGAAATCAAACAAAGTTTAAATACTGGACCCTATCTTGGACCAACTTGAAAACTGGGCCCATAATCAAAAATCTAAACACATGTTTAGATTCAGCAAATCAAAGAACCCCAAGAATTCAATTTTTGTTAAAATCAAACTAAGTTTAATTTTGGACCCTTTGGACCTCAATGTAGACCAATTTAAAAAACAGGACCCAAAATTAAAAACCTAAATACACGGTTAGATTTGGAATATCAAAGAACCCCAATAATTCAATTTTAGATGAAATCAAACAAAGTTTAATTTTGGACCCTTTTGACCTCAATATGAACCAATTAGATAACAGGGTCCACAAATAAAAAATCTAAATACATGGTTAGATTCAGCATATCAAAGAACCCCATATATTCAATTTTTGTTGAAATCAAACAAAGTTTAATTTTGGACCCCAATTTGGACCAACTTGAAAACTGGGCCAAAAATCAAAAATCTAAATACATGTTTAGATTCAGCATATCAAAGAACCTCATATATTCAATTTTTGCTAAAATCAAACAAAGTTTAATTTTGGACCCTTTGGACATTAATGCAATTTGAAAACTGGACCCAAAATTAAAAATCTAAATACACTGTTAGATTCGGCATAACAAATAAATAAATGTGATCAAAGATTTTACAAATCTAATGCGCCATACTGTGCAATTAAAGATTACTTCTTGAAATTTTTCAATATTTGAAATTTGAAAAAAAAAAATATTTGAAGAATAATTCTTTTTAATTTCTGAAATCTGAAATGAGAAAAAATTGGCCCCCCACAATTTCTTTTTATCCCCCCCCCCCCTTTTTCCCCCCAAAAAATTCTTTCCCTCAAGATATGGTCATAATCTCAATTCAAATTTCCAATGGAGTTGGCAACCATAATTACCCATTTAAATTTACCATAGTGCTAACTTAATCTATTTTATAATAGAATTAATAAAAATATAGTGTCAAATCTTTCATATGGATTTTTTTGTAAAAAAAAAAGATGAAAACATTTGCAGATATTTTTACTGGTCTTCCTTTATAAATATGCATTTCTTTAAACATAATTTAAAAGCAGTGTAAGGGAAGTAACCAAAACGTTGTATTTGGATTACCTCCCTTACACTGTTTTAGATTATCTTTATTGTTCATTAACCATTACTTTATACATAATTTAAAAGCAGTGTAAGGGAGATAATTTCAATGATGTATTTGATTTATCTCCCTTACACTGCTTTAAATTATGTTTTGTACTAAAGTATTTGTCCATTAACCAGGACAACCTTGTTTTTCCCCCTTTTTTGCCCCTAATTCCTAAACGGTTTGAGCCATAACCCCCCAAAGCAAATCCTAACCATCCCTTTGTGGTATGGAAACTTGTAGTATAATTTCAGAGAGATCCATACACCGTTCCACAGTTATTGTCTGGAAACTAGAAAATGCTCATTTTTGGCCCCTTTTTGGCCCCTAATTCCTTAACTGTTGGTACCATAACCCCCAAAATCAATCCCAACCTTCCTTTTGTGGTATTTAACCTTATGGTAAAATTTCAAAAAGATCCATTCACTTAAACTAAAGTTAGAGTGCGAAAACCAATATGTATTCGGACGACGACGCCGGACGACGACGACGCCGGACGACGACGACGCCAACGTCATACCAATATACAACCACAAAATTTTTTTGCGGTCGTATAAAAATCTAAATACATGTTTAGATTCAGCATATCCAAGAACCTCATATATTCAATTTTTGCTAAAATCAAACAAAGTTTAATTTTGGACCCTTTGGACCTTAATGTAGACCAATTTGAAAACTGGACCCAAAATTAAAAATCTAAATACACTGTTAGATTCGGCATAACAAATAAATAAATGTGATCAAAGATTTTACAAATCTAATGCGCCATACTGTGCAATTAAAGATTACTTCTTAAAATTTTTCAATATTTGAAATTTGAAAAAAAAAAAAATATTTGAAGAATAATTCTTTTTAATTTCTGAAATCTGAAATGAGAAAAAATTGACCCCCCACAATTTCTTTTTATCCCCCCCCCCCTTTTTTCCCCCAAAAAATTCTTTCCCTCAAGATATGGTCATAATCTCAATTCAAATTTCCAAAGGAGTTGGCAACCATAATTACCCATTTAAATTTACCATAGTGCTAACTTAATCTATTTTATAATAGAATTAAAAATATAGTGTCAAATCTTTCATATGGATTTTTTTGTAAAAAAAAAAGATGCAACATTTGCAGATATTTTTACTGGTCTTCCTTCATAAATATGCATTTCTTTAAACATAATTTAAAAGCAGTGTAAGGGAAGTAACCAAAACGTTGTATTTGGATTACCTCCCTTACACTGTTTTAAATTATCTTTATTGTTCATTAACCATTACTTTATACATAATCTAAAAGCAGTGTAAGGGGGATAATTTCAATGATGTATTTGATTTATCTCCCTTACACTGCTTTAAATTATGTTTTGTACTAAAGTATTTGTCCATTAACCAGGACAACCTTGTTTTTCCCCCTTTTTTGCCCCTAATTCCTAAACGGTTTGAGCCATAACCCCCCAAAGCAAATCCTAACCATCCCATTGTGGTATGGAAACTTGTAGTATAATTTCAGAGAGATCCATACACCGTTCCACAGTTATTGTCTGGAAACTAGAAAATGCTTATTTTTGGCCACTTTTTGGCCCCTAATTCCTTAACTGTTGGTACCATAACCCCCAAAATCAATCCCAACCTTCCTTTTGTGGTAATCAACCTTATGGTCAAATTTCAAAAAGATCCATTCACTTAAACTAAAGTTAGATTGCGAAAACCAATGTGTCTTCGGACGACGACGCCGACGCCGGAGACGACGCCAACGTCATACCAATATACGACCACAAAATTTGTTTGCGGTCGTATAAAAAAAATATTGGAAATAAATCCTAACTTTTGTATAATTCATGTCTTAAGTTGTAAGAGAGTCTTGGAGGTAAATATACCTTACCCTTTTCAACAAAAGAGTCGTCAGCCAGTAAAGACTTTGTAGCATTGTGTCTCTGTGTATGATTGGTGTATGCCTGAAGAAAATAAACAAAGTGCAAGATATATATATATATATGAAATGTGTTTCCTTTTTTGTTTTCCTACATAATGAGATATTACGTCATTATTTCTTACTTTGTCCTTCGATTTAAAAAAAAAGTGGCAACTTATGGCATACAACTGCACAACGGCTGCGGAATATTAAAAAATTTGACCAACAAGACTATGTGCACTATAAACTAAAGGCTCAAGAACTGAATCACTCATCTGGCCAAAAATCTGAATAAAAAAATAATGGACAAAATACTGTTAATTTATTATTTTTGGTGGAATATTAATTTTTGGGGGATTTCATGGCTAAAGGTGAACCACTAATTCAAGTATTCAACAATACAAATTTCCTAAATGCATAAATGCAGAATTTGTCAGCGCAAAGAAATGAATAATCCATGAAAATAAATTATTCTCTTAGTCCATGAAAATTAGTATCCACAAAAAATGAATGATTCCACAGTATATTGTAGGTAGGTATATCTAGACATTCCTAATATTTTACCTCCACCAGAAGACAATAACATGCGTTTTACAGTTATGTTTTACTTTAATCCATTCCTGTCATGTTGCTTGGTTGGGAAGGACAAAAGTTATGAACTTTATACTTAATACGGTATGAATCTTTCAGGCTAAGTTCAATTCAAATTATGCATGTGGCCAAATGGGCTGGATAAGATAATTAATTAGAATTTGTCATTTTCACTAACATCCACATATTTGATTCTCTCCCTAAATGCTGTGTGCTTGGCAATGAAACAGCAGATACCAGTTTTAAAGTCTCTACTGTAGATAAGACCATGCCAGGACCAAACTCATGAAATCCTATAATCAAGGCAAGCATATACATTTACTTATATAAAAATTATTCTACCTGTGTTGGTTGTAACAAGTCAACACTGTTATCACTATCATAATCTTCTTCAAACTCAACAGTCACATCCTTCACATCATTGGCGGTTTGATATTCTGATTCTGATCCAGTCTCTGAAACAGCATCTACATCCTGAAATATATCATGAAGTGATAACATGGACAAGTTGTGTCCCAGTATGGTTGGTTGTTATGTATTCCAACTTTTAGCAGGATAATCATCAACCTATACAGTTTCAGTGTTTTTAAACTTGTACTGACTTCAAGTTTGTGCAATTAGATAACACAGTTTAGGCAATCCAAAATAGGAAAGCACATGTTGTAGTGCTAAGCATAAATACACTCATCGTAGTCACCAGGCTACTAGATGCACATCTCATCTACAAAAGACTCATCAGTGACCCATGAATCAACAAAGTTATAAAGGCCAAATCAAATATATTGTAGAGCATTGAGGACCCAAAATTCTGAAAGGTTTTGAAAAATACAGCTAGATTTATCTATTCACAGGGTAAGAATACTTAGTATTTCCAAAAATTTAAAGTTAAAAAAAAAGTCAATTTAAAATTATGACTATATCAATGACAATTCATGTCAACCCAAAAGTGCTGACTACTGGGTTGGTTATACCCTTGGGGAAGAAACCTCCACCTGCATAAACCCAACTCGTTGCTCAAAGTATTGGTAAACAAAAAGAAGGTGCCTGATAGATCAGAAAAGAGCTCATATGTTATAACTCATCACTGTGAAGCTGCTGATCAAATAATCAAGCATTCTTTCTGTTGTACTGGAAAATGTGTGAAGAAAACTCTCACGTTTATTAAACATATTGAAAAATTTGTAAAAGCAAACAGAAAGAAAATGTCTTATAGATCTGAAAAGTGCTCATACCTAACAACTCTTCACTTTCATCACACATGGAGTCATTCTGTTCAGTAGTAACTGAGAAACTTTAAACATAAATATTTGTTGGACAAATGGACTGAAAATGCATAACATAGTATAACATGCTTACATGAAGCTAGATACCAAAGTATAATATAACAATATATTACCTTATTGCCAATATAAAATTTACATGTAACATCACCAAACATTAGGGTATCCCCATTCTTCAGCTCATATCGCACATCTGGACTTAAGTATAGCTGTAAAAAATATTAAACCCATTTTTCCACTTTCTGCTTTCAAAAGTAAATAAAAGTTCTTACTCAACAGTACATGAAATGGCTTTAAAAACAGTAAATGCACTGTGTGTCTTTACAACACAATGACATATCCTGACCAAATGTATTATTTTATTTTAATTTTTGCTACCAAATAAAAACTATGCTGCATTTTTGAACTCACCATATCAGTAAATGATGAGTCCAGACAGATTTTTAGACAGGTATGAATTTTTATGAAATGTATTTCTACTTTTTACTGTCCAATTTTCAAATTGTTATGGTATCTTAATTTAAATTTATATCACAGGTATCTGGTATCCTATCTACATGACTTTTATTGAAAACTTAATCAAGAAAATTACCTGATTTCTTTTAGTCTTGTTTCTGCTATTTTTATCATATATCAGAAAAGATTCTCCCTTTATTTCAATGCATGCATGTTCTCTGGATAATCCCTTAAATAGAAAAAAATATTGGTCATCTACAATACCAAATGAGAATTCCTGGTTCTGAGTATCATTTCCTTGCCTTCCAGATCAAATTAATCAATATTGATCTCTACCCTATAGATGGTATGCAAACTGTAGTATCAAATGACACAAATCACTACAAGCACATGAGAAAAATTATCTTCTTCATCTCATAGTCCCAGTGAGGCTGTCAGCATGGAGCAAAAACTCTGGAACTTACTGCAAATTCAAGACATTCCTCCACACTGATTTGAGAGGAATTCTATAGATTACATGCTAATGGTCCTTTGTTGGATTTCTTACAGAATAAATTCAAGATTTGTTATATAAATATTTCTAGTTTAAGTAATAATAACTGTCATATTAAGGATGTATTCTTCTGATGTTTCAGTCTCTTGAAAATCTCCTTTCGGGAATTATTTCCAAAACATGTGATACAAGTGGAAAATATCAATGAATTTTAAAAATATAAAACTAAACTCTGTGAAAAAATTGTGTACTTACAAAAAGTGGTTTTTGAGTAATAAAATTTTCAAATTTTATAACCAATCCGGTCAGTGTCATCAGCCAAAATGTTGAGAAAATGTGTGAGTGGTACAAAGAAATGATTTTACCAAAAAAATGTACGTCCCATATCAATTTTTTCTGTTCAAAATTCTTAGATAGGTATTTTTTTAATCATTTATAATAAAGAAGTTGAAACAAGAAAAATCTCAAATTTACAAATTGACACAAAAAGCAACAAAATTTTATAAAAAATGGGTAAAAATTGATGAAAAATGGGAAAATCATTAAAAATGGGGTACTTTCAAATGGCTGTAGCAAAAAAGAAGTGCACCACCATATGATTTTTTCTTCATCAATTACTTTAAGTCATATAAATACAAAAATTGGGTTAAGAAAAAAAGTTTAATTCTAGAAATTTTTCACTCCTCAGAGGTGTACATCCTTAATCTGAACTATAAATCTTTTACCTTCAATGAAATACAGACATTACAAGATTCTTCATGTCTCCCAATCACATTGTTTCCTGTAGATAAACAAATATTCTTTAACATGTTGATAAAAAAAGCCATCATAAATATTCAATAAATTTTGAAGTAAACACAATAAAATATTCTAATATAGTTTAACTTTATAAAGGTTATTCCATCAAAATGAATGAGAGGGTAGGATGTTTATATTTTTTGGTCGTGGATCATGGGTCTTTTATGGTTGTTTGTCCATGTGCTGAATGCAAAATTACTCTGATTTATGTACAATTTTTGGGGATTGTGGCCCCTCTTATTACTATAAAAAGAGGCTTAAAGAAGAGCCAAACAGTGTTTGAAAGAGCTTTGATATATCTGCAAAAAAAATTTCAGTCAATTTTGATGCTTTTTTATTCTTTGCAATCTTTATAAAATTCCATATATGTGAAATGTTTAAAGATCCTTCAAACTTCTAGGTCTATAGTTCGAAGTCCAATATTTTTCTTTTCCTCTTTTCTTTGAATTCCTATGAAAATATCTGCTCAGAGTGTCTTATCAAGATTCTTTGGACCTGTTACAGTCTGCAACCTTAGAGGAACCAAGGGAAAACAAAGATCACTTTTTCACATCGAGTGACCTGGATTGTATAGGTTTTAGTTTTCATAAAAAATGCAGAGAATTTTATTAACTTCTCTTTGTTAGTTTGGTTTTTGTGGGGAAGAGGTGGGATTGAAACTTAAAGCACTTACATAGGTTCTCAGAACGGAAAAAAGCAAAATGCTTATCTTTTGGTTTGCCAGGTTAACACAACTTCTACTTATAAGAGCAAGGCATCAGAAATTTGTGCGTCATAAAATGAATTGCCTGCACCTACAAAACATAATGCAAAATATCTTACCTTCATACAATGGAAATGATTTTTCAGGAAAGCTTTTTTGGCAGGAAACCTTTAAAAAGGCCACCTGAAATAAGAATAAGAGAAATAATTTGTAAATTTCAAATTTTTACGAAATAAACTGCAATGTATTTATCATTTATCTTTAAGATATGATCCAAATGCATATGGCATGCATGGAAACATTGTTCGATAGGTTATTATTTTTCAGGAAAATTTTTAGTTTATCCTCTTTATTATAAAGTGCCTCCAGGTAGTCTTTTTTACTATATTTTTAAAGTGTGGAAGAAGCTTAAGCATCCAAGCAGTTTCAACTCTGCAAAACAAATACAAGTATAGCATGAATATGGGTCCATAGGAAACCATGCCACACTCACACTATCATATTTCCATATTCAGTCAAATGAGAAATCTGGGATTGGGTCAAACCATCAATTGGCCCAAATTCATCGCCAGAGCCTAATGTACATAGGTAATATACTAGATATACAAGACATTTTGAAAATCTTTCAAAAATCAAATTGAATATATATATATCAAACATGTACTAAATTTTATGTTATGTGACCACAAATTACCTTAAACCAAAACTTTCACATTTCACATTTCCATTTCCACAGAACCTTGGAATCTGGGTCAAAACTCTAACTTTGCATATACATCAAACAGTTCACTTAATAATGAACACGAGTAATAAATTCACTACATTGTAAGTTTTAAGTTGATGTGAAAGCAAACTATCTTAAACCAAAAGTTATTTGTAGATATTGTAGTCAAACAGACAGTCAAACATAATGCCCCTCTTCTAAAGGTAAGTTGGGTATACAAATATAATATGATAGGAAAACTAGGCCTCAAAATATCACAGGGGTCATTATGGCAGCAACAACTGATATTTTAAGTGTATAAGACATGATTTTTTTATCAGCAGGTTGAGTATTTTGACCTTTTTTTAAGTAATGTTTAGTTAGCATTTTTTAATAACTTTTTTGGGGTTATCTATATATTACACTGCTATTTTAGATAAATGTCTTGCCTGCTTTACAGATCATGATTGAATTTATGTTGGAAATCTTTAAGATAAAGCTTTTACAACAAGTATGATTATCACATAAACTTAATCAATGTTCCATGTAAAAAAAAATTACTATGACTTTTGGTTTGTGCCAGAAATTTTTTTTAATCACAAATTGCAAGGCTTGCAATTGACAATGCAATCTGTGGTAGATTGTTATAATACATTACATGTAAAATGCAATTAATTACTTTTAAATGATGGCAGATGCCAAAAAAAAATTATAAAGACTATTGACAAATCAAAGTGCTGGATAGCACCTGTGAAAAGTTTGCAACGGTAGATGTGTCTTATTTCAAATAGGTTGTAGATGTGTACTGAGACTACTATAACACACATGTGTTATAGTAGTCTCAGATGTGTATTATTTCAAATAGGTTGTAGATGTGTATAATTTCAAATAAGTTGTAGATGTGTATTATTTCAAATATGTATTTAATCACAGCTTTGGTGTTTTTCCCTAAACCATTGTCCTATCAGCAATTATCAAAAATCACTTTTTTCATGTTTGTCATGTAAAATTTTGATAATTTCTTTTGCAACCTTAAACTGTAGATTTAAAATAATCAAATATACAGAAAGCTCTGTTAATTTCTTTCTGTGCCCGTCCCATATAAAGGGCCTGTGATTAAGTATTTTTTATTGATAAAGGTCCTTCATATTTGTTTGTAGTAAATTGTATTATTACTTATTAAGCAGTTAGTTTTCTTGTTTGAATTGTTATATATTGAACAAACTTGGACTACGATTAGTAGATTGTGTGGTTAACTGTTTTTTCCGACTTCTAAATTTTTTTACTTAATACAAGAAATAATTGTAACAGGATTCTGTTACAAAGTCTCCCAAACAAAGCTCCCATAATTAGTCATTCCCATGGTCGCCTGACATTGGGCAAAGTCCAGTACAAATTGGTTTGGTCTAGTAAAGTGATATGCATAAGTGACCCCTAGGGATTTACCCTGTATGTCATTCAAATCTTCTTGAAATCATGAACAGGAATATATATGGTTTAGGGGTCAGGATCTCAACCGTTTACAAGTTCTCAAAATAAGGGGGGGTTGATTATCAGGGGACTCTTTATTTCATTTGATTTGTTTTATTGTCCCGTACAAGAATATATATGGTTTTGGGGTTGGGACCTTGACTGTTTACAAGTTCTCAAATAGGATGGGGTGGGGTGACCCCCAGGGACTCCCCCTATATTTCATTTCATTTGTTTTATTGTCCCGTACAAGAATATATATGGTTTTGGAGTGGGGATCTTGACTGTTTACAAGTTTTCAAAAAGAAGGGGGTAGGGGTGACCCCCGTTAACTTCCCCTATATTTCATTTGATTTGTTTTATTGTCCCATACAAGAATATATTTGGTTTAGGGGTGGGGATCTTGACCGTTTACAAGTTCTCAAACAGGCTGGGGTGGGGGTGACCCCTAGGGACTCCCCCTATTTTCATTTGATTTGTTTTATTGTCCCATACGAGAATATATATGGTTTAGGGGTGGGGATCATGACCGTTTACAAGTTCTCAAACAGGAGGGGGTGGGGTGACCACCAGGGACTCCCCCTATATTTCATTTGATTTGTTTTATTGTCCCATACAATATGTATGGTTTCAAGGTGGGGATCTTGACCGTTTACAAGTTCTCAAACAGGAGGGGGTGGGGCTGACCCAGAGGGACTCCCACTATATTTCATTTGATTTGTTTTATTATCCCATACATGAATATATATGGTTTAGGTGTGGGGATCTCGACTGTTTACAAGATAAAAGCTCATTCTCAAATTGAAAAGGGGGTGGGGGGAACCCCAGGAACTCAACCTATTTTTTATTTGATTTGTTTTATTGTCCTGTGATCATTACTGAAGACCGCGTGTGTCTATCACTTACTGTTCACAAGTTATAGTCATTTGAAAATTTGAAAAAAATAAAACCCCATAGGGTTCTTTAGTAAATCCCTCCCTTCTGTAGGCTACTCAAAATACCCATAAATAGACCCCAAGAAGAAAAATAATAAGAAGTGAGCAAAAAGAAAAAGTCTCCAAACTTTGTTTGGGAGACTTAATAACAAATAGTATATATGAATTTTGTTATAGTCCGAGTCTATTATGGGCCTAGATGAGATACCAGGTTACTTTCAATACACTCGGGCTTTTACGTCTTTAACATGTTTAATAAACATTTGTAATAATAGTAGTAACAAGAGTGCACACGCTGAAATGTCTCGCCTTCTTTATTAATCATTGATATTATGTTGATAGTCCTAAATATAAAGCTTTATTACAACTGTCACATAAACTTAACATTAACCAAAAAACTAAACATTGACCAATGAACCATGAAAATGAGGTCAAGGTCAGAAGAACCATGCCAGGCAGACATGTACAGCTAACAATTCTTCCATACAACAAATATAGTTGACCTATTGCTTATAGTTTAAGAAAAACAGACCACAACACAAAAACTTAACACTGAGCAATGAACCGTGAAAATGAGGTCAAGGTCAAATAAAACCTGTGCAACCGACATATAGATCATAAAATATTTCCATATACCAAATATAGTTGACCTATTGCATATAGTATTAGAAAAAAAGACCAAAACTCAAAAACTTAACTTTGACCACTGAACCATGAAAATGAGGTCAAGGTCAGATGAAACCTGCCAGCTAGACATGTACACCTTACTATCATTCCATACACCAAATATAGTAGACCTATTGCATACAGTATAAGAAAAACAGACCAAAACACAAAAACTTAACTATAACCACTGAACCATGAAAATGGGGTCAAGGTCAGATGACACCTGCCAGTTGGACATGTACACCTTATAGTCCTTCCATACACCGAATATACAAGACCTATTGCTTATAGTATCTGAGATATGGACTTGACCACCAATCTTTACCTTGTTCACTGATCCATGAAATGAGGTCGAGGTCAAGTGAAAACTGTCTGACGGGGATGAGGACCTTGTAAGGTACGCACATACCAAATATAGTTATCCTATTACTTATAATAAGAGAGAATTAAACGTAACAAAAAATCTGAACTTTTTTTTCAAGTAGTCACTGAACCATGAAAATGAGGTCAAGGACATTGGACATGTGACTGACGGAAACTTCGTAACATGAGGCATCTATATACAAAGTATGAAGCATCCAGGTCTTCTAGCTTCTAAAATATAAAGCTTTTAAAAAGTTAGCTAACGCCGCCGCCGGATCACTATCCCTATGTCGAGCTTTCTGCGACAAAAGTCGCAGGCTCGACAAAAATAGTATCGAAAAATGTTCATTCATGAAATGAAATATTTTAAACACGGTATTTATTTTCTCTTCAACCGGAGGACGGGAGGAAACCCCTGAAACCGGGATTATTGTACTCCCGTCTGGAGGTACACATATATGGATCTCACGTGTGTCTGGGGAATACCGATAAAAGCATTAACGTAGAAATTGCTGTCTCGTGTAGATGTGTATTGATTTTAATTTCCGTGCAGCGCAGATCCGCGAAGTAGTGTTTGCGATAGCCATTTTCAAAATGAAGTTGAATTCATTTGAATTATCGATGAACAATCAGTACATTTTAATTCAAGCAGTAAGCTAATCAAAATAGAAGTAACTCAAAATTTCAAAAGCATCTTCCTAGAATTAGTATTCAAACACTTGTACTACATTATCTAGGAGTAGAACACTTGCGATAGTCTGTCCAACTTCCGGTTTGAGGCCGATGCCTTAGGAAAGTATATTGCTATAGCAAGCTATAGCGTACTTTCCAAAAAAATGATTAAACACTCTTGAGAGACAAACAATGTACATGTATCATGTGTATATAGGGTTCAAAATATTCATCAGGATAGAAACAAACTATACTATATACAGTCTCATACACTATTTTTATTATCTGAAACATTATCTTCATCTATTTCTTGTTCAAACTCATCTAAAAACAAGGCCTGTGTTTGGTCAAAGTCCTGGTCGTCTGCCATATCATAAAATCTGAAAAATATTTACATCCATTATTTCAACTAAAACTAAATCTAAACACTCAAGGTTCTCGTTCACTCCAAAATCTAAGAGTCCTAGAACTCCTCCTAAGGTAAATTGAGAGTTCTATCCAAATGTTGAGGGGTTCCTTGGAAAAGTATTGAGTCCTTGTATGCATAAAACAAGTATTTTTTATTGTTGGATGACTTTTTATTAAAATTTACTCCATCATTGGCTTCATTTGTTTGACAAGTTAATTGATTGCAGAAATGAATACTTAAACAATGTGTATATTTACAAGAATGCACAAACTGTCCATCTTAGCATACCCCTCATACTTCAAAGTCTCAGAGAAAACAGGAAGTAGATGTATGACAGATCCAACAAGAAGCTGTGCCATGAGCACATCATACGCCCTTCACCCTTTTATCTTGTCTTTAAGCTTTAAATGAATTTATATGATCAACTAGAAATACAGTGAGTACTGCTCAAATAGACCCGACCCCCCCCCCCCCTCCCCAAATGAAAAAAAAAGAAATGCACACATAGTGGTACCTATTCACACAAAGCAACGATTTTTCAACTCCGCAATGTCATATCAGAAATTTAAAAAAACAAAACAAAAGGGAGCTTATTTCAATAGATATAAACAAGTCACCAAAGTTTCATGAAAACTGCTCAAAACATTTTTGAGTTATTGTCCGAAAACTGGAAAACCCCCTTTTTATGAATAAAGTCACAATACTCCAAACAAAATGCAGAACCATGTGTCAGAATCAATTACATGCTATCGCTAAGTGGTCATCATAGCTTGGTACTGTAAATGCAAAAAGACGCTCCAATATTTCTTAAATTTCTTTTTGGATAAAAACTGTGTTATACCTCAATAGGTACAGGGTTTAAACTTTAGTTTTCAGGGCCCTCTGGGCCCCTAGTAAAATAGATTTTGGGACCCACAGTAAATCTAAATAGCTCATAAAATTTATCGAAATTATGATCATGATGATTCTCAATACAAATATGGAACACCTAGGCTAAGTTTCGGGACTCTTGAAATATTTACTTTCATAAATGATCTTGTTGATATTGTAGTTTTATTTTGAAGTGTTGTGTCACATGCTATGAAATGTAGTGTAATGACAATAAAGATGTGGATTGAGTTGAATTATATAAAAGATATATAAAGTTTATAAATTTAAGTAACTAAAATTAATAAATTAAAACAATGCATTTGCATTGATATGTATATACATTTAACTAAGGGGGTCCAACCAAATGTCTGTTAATGTGTGTGGAATGCGTATTTTTCACTTTTATGATCATTATTCTTCTGTCAACTCACAGACACTTATCTCTGAAAAAAAATTATCTATATACTTAATATAACTGTTGTATTAAAGTATATATGCAGATATTTTTTTTCAGAGACAAGTGCCTGTGTGTCAACTGTGTCATTCAAGCATCTGTAGTTATTATCATTAGAATACAGATTTCATTCATAGTTGGTCTGTAAAGACTGTATCCGATCCGTGGTTCGTATATATTTCAATGGCGGATGAAGGAAAATTTACAAAAATAAATGATGTTTGAAAAGCTATTTGGAAAGGAACATTATAAGCCATCAGAGACAATTATAACCTCAGGAGTGCCTGCAAAACAAGACAGCCGTTATTAAGATATATACATTGTAACAGCCAGAAGAGTTTGAAACAAGTGTTTCCGAAGGAGGTTTTGGCGTGGTAAGGAGCCCTGCCCTTTTTAGGAAAACTAAATTGCTTCGCCGAGCGCAGCTGGATAAGACCACAGAGGTCAAACCCTTAACAGTTGGGACAAAAATGGACACAATATTCGCGCTTGATACAGGTCGGAATTTGGATTGTAATTAAATATTTGACACATACATGTAAAAGGTTTCTGAACCCCCCCCCCCCCCCCCCTTTTTTTTTAGCAAAAAAAAAAAAAATATTTAAAGAAAATTTTCTTTTTAATTTCTGAAATCTGAAATGAAAAAAAAATTGCCCCCCCACCCCCCCCTTTTTTCCAAAAAGAAAATTCTTTCCCTCAACATATGGTCATAATCTCAATTCAAATTTCCAATGGAGTTTGCAACCATGATTACCCATTTAAATACATCATACATAATTATAGCTAAAATTAATAAAAAGTCTTAAAATAGAAAATTACATACATTATCATGGCTAAAATTGATATTCCTTAATCAGCAGTTTTAAATAGTAACTTCCAAAAATAAGTTGACAGCTAATCACCTCAAGACAATACAACATTTCTTTATACATAATTTAAAAGCAGTGTAAGGGAGGTAATCCAAACATAACATTGTACTTTTTTTTAGGACCATTAAACCCAAAATAAATCCCAACCTTCCTTTTGTGGTTATAAACCTTGTGTTTAAATTTCATAGATTTCTATGTACATTTACTAAAATTATTGTCCAGAAACCAAATGTCTTCGGACAACGCTGGCAACAACGACGACGTGATACCAATATAGTATCGCAAATTTTTTGCAGTCGTATAAAAATTGGTACCATGCCCCTTTTCCGTCGTATTTTAAAATGCCCTGCCGTGTTTTAATCGGTTCTGCAATTCATCATTTAGCAAAACCATTTCCAGTTATTTCCCTTGGAACAAATAAAAATTCTAATGGCCGACATTTTATTGAATTTCGTAATTATGTTTGAACAGTTTTGAAGTGACAGATCTAAGGTACAAATATGGTTCATGATTAAATCTTATAGGGACAACATCAATTTGTACCTCTACAAATCTAAAATGTAGACAAGGCGATCGTTTAAGTTTTAATTTTACTATGCAGGGGATAAACATTACCACTGATTACGTAAACAATCCGATGTTTGTTTATATTTTCTATTTATATTATTCAGTCGGTCGAGGCGTTGGATTGGATGTGAATTTACGACAGCTTCCATACTGTTCTTATCAAAATAAACAAGTTATTGTCATGTAACTAAAAAAATGCTTGTTTTTTGCCCCTTTTTTGGCCCCTAATTCCTAAAATTTTGAGGCAATTACATTGTACCCCTAAAATCAATCCCAGCATTCCCTTTGTGATATGGAACCTTGTTGTACAATGTCAGAGAGATCCATACACTAACACACAAGTTATTGTCTGGAAGTTACAAAAATGCTTATTTTTGGCCCCTTTTTGGTCCCTAATTCCTTAACTGTTGGCACCATAACCCCCAAAATCAAACCCAACCTTCCTTTTGTAGTATTGAACCTTATGGTAAAATTTCATAGAGATCCATTCACTTTAACTAAAGTTAGAGTGCGAAAAACAATGTGTCTTCGGACGACGACGCCAACGTCATACCAATATACGATGTATAAAAAGGGTAAAATCCCATTGAATAAAGGTCTGCCAGCTCACCCCACTAATAAAAATAAAGAATTATACTGTACTGAATTAAGGCCTACATTGTACCAACTCGCCCCACTTATGGATTAAATGAATACTGTTGTACTGATGAAAACCTTAGAAATACATTTTGTTTTTTATATGATAAGAGACGCATATCATGGTTATATCTACATTGCGTGGAGGTATTTTGCATACTATGGTATCAAGCTATAACAATAATCTTTAATACTACAACAGTTCTTAACAACATTTTGCTTGCTTTAAATGAATATTAATGTTCTTATTATACATATCGCTTTTTCCAGCTACACATACAGTACATACATCAGTATCATTACTTTCCAAAATGAATCTAAATTTTTCTTGTTTGTTCAGACATATTAACAAAAGATGGTCACAAGAATTGACAGAGGTAAATTTAACGGGATTTAACCATTTTTCATGAGTGGGGCGAGTTGGTAAACAAGAGTAGAGCGAGTTGGTGAAAAAGTGAGCGATTTGGCAGTGAGACGACTTGTCTTGCTTCCTATTGCATACATTGTATATATGCTCTTGGTCATGCAAAGTCCACTTTCACAACAACATTTCTTACCAATAAATATGAAACAATGGTATATTCGATTAAATCTATATCCATAACAGTGCCTTTATATCTACATGTATGTACAGAATGCCCTAAAAGTGTAGTCCTCCTCGCAAACGGTGCCCTTAAAGTGTAGCCAATCACGCTAAGAGTGCCCTCTGATAAGTAAATTACCCTGCCCCTTTTAAAAGAAAAAAAGAAACACACATGCGTAAATGAAATCAAGTTGTGAAAATGGAACCTGTGATCAGGTGATCCTTGCCCAACCTCAAGAATAATAAGCCAGGAATTATAGTTATCTCGTAACATTGCAAACTCGTACCGTTGAAAACTCTTACCAATTTATTTAAATGCATTCAAATGGTGTTTAATGATGAATAAATATTTAAATTTCACTCAATACTTCTGTAAAAAGTATATAATTTGAAATCACAATGACCAATTTACAGCTGATTTTTCCTTGGCTAATTGGATTAAGAAAACTCAAGGATACGCGGCCTTCTTCGATTCGTCCTACTCGGGTTGACTCGATGAATTGTTGGTTCCCTTAAAGCTTTCTGATAAAAGGTCTAGGTGTATTAATGGGTTACCGAGTGACGGACGGACAGACAGTCAGATGGAGAAAATTCAGTGTGATGTGTGGTGTCTCAAACACTCCCGTGTTAATGTACGCCCAGAAATCCTAAATAACAGGCATAAGTGACATTGATATGGTAAAGATAATGTATTTTTGTAATAAAAAATGTGCAACTCTGAGCATGCCGAAATTAATTTCTGTTCTATTTATAAACATCACCGACAGTTAATATACACATGAACAATATTTGTTGATGCCAAAATACAGGCAAAAATAAATTCCCCTTGTCAGCCCCTTTCTTCGGCTGTCAGATGTCAGTTGTTATTTTGTATCATACTTTTCTTTGCTGGAGCTGCTTGACGCCATTTTGAAACTCTAATAAACCTGCCCCAACCCAGGATTTTGAAAGCAGAGAAAACTGTGCACCTTATAATAAGCATGATGAAAATCGAGACTAAAAATAAGGCGTAGGTACTTTAATTCAGTCACGGAACAGCGAGTGTGTTCTAGTATATTTTTAATGGTAAGAGTTTGCAGTGGTACGAGTTCGCAGTGGTACGAGTTAACATTGGTACGAGTTGACGTGGTATGAGTTTGCAATGGTACGAGTTAACTTGCTTCCATAAGCCAGGATCCTATACTTCGAAAAAAAATAACAATTTTAAAAAACGTTTTCGGCAGACTATTGTTCATTTGACATGTTTAAGCAGATCAGTGTTCTTCCCAGAAATTTTGGATAGCATCACATTTGGCGTAAAAAAATAAACTGTATTTTTTTCAATGTCATTTGACGTGTCGCGGCGATGCACTATTTCCATTATGTTATATATGTTTATATTGTTCAATTCATAACTGAGAATACAATTAAACTATAACCATGATAACAGTTGTTTCAGTTTATGTTTTCTATATTCATTTATAGTTACAGAATTATTTTTTTCCTCTTGGGCCAAATAAAAATATATGTGTGGTTCCAGTTACCCTACCTACTCAACTAAATGAATGAATGAATGAATGAATGGTTTATTATAGTGCAACCTGTATATATACAATACTAAATATCTAGCAAAAAAAAAGACCTGGTTTTTATATAAAAAGGGAAGAGAAAGTATCATATAGCAATAAAATTTCAATTAAAAAACTTTTTTCTTTATCATGTCTATGAAATTCATTGTTTTATGGTACTCAATGAATTAGTCCCAGTTGTTTCTTTATATCAAAATGATATATATTTTTAACAAAGTTAAGCTACTTTAGTCGGTATATTAAAACAATGCATTTTCAAAAAGAATACATTTAGCAAAGATATCTAATAAATAGTCTGTTATTGCGTTTGGAATGTGTAGTTTTCTCTTTTGTGATCATTTTTTCTGTCTACTGTGCCATGTGTGCATCTGTAGTTATTATCGTAAAAATGCGGAATTTTGTCATATCTGGTCCGGTTCCGATCCGTAGTTTACACAAATATTTCAATGGCAGCGGAAGAAAAATTTACGAAAATAAACAATGTTTGGCAAGAGATTGGGAATGCATATGACGCTTTTAATGCATTAAATGGATGAAACATTAACTAAAGCCAATTATGATCTCTTTCTAAAGTAGTATCAAACTTATTAAACTCAAAATCAAAATGTTTAATATACGGCATGTACGCTCTCGATTAACTAGATACTGGAAATGAAAGAAAGTTATTTTTTAAAAGTTGTAAAAATATACGACCTAACCTCTTTTCGGAAGAGAGAAATCGTTTGGATCTTTGAATTTAGATTATGCAAACGTAGATTTTCGAATTGTTTTTCGATTTTCTGATTAAAGTTTCTCCATGTTGAAATTTGCGATTCGCCCACGTGGTATTAGTCATGTCACAAGTGTCAGCTTGGGGTATTCGTATCCATTCAGTTATCACCCAAAGGGCAATTAACACCTATTTAATCACTCTAAATTGCCTCTAAAGGTGATATAATTTTTATGATCACAAGCGGTAATTAGATGGAAGTTCAAAATTTAGGACATGGTTTTGCGATATAGAGACAAGAAAAATAGCATCTTCAAAATAATTAAAGCGTCGCAGAAATTATTATGGCATCACGGGAAAAAATATAGCGTCTCTAAAACGGCCTGGGGAGAACACTGCAGATACCACTACCAGCTTTGAAAATATACCAGTTTCTGCAACTACATATTTATGAGCCCACATCGAAAACCACTCACAAATGGCGAGTGGGTGACCACTTATTTCAATTAATGGTTCAATTCATTGGTACGTTTTTCTTAGAGGTAACATTGCCATTGGTACGAGTTTGCAATGGTATAAGCTGACTTGCTTCCAATACCGTCAATAGGAAGATCATGCATTCAAAGCCAAAACACGTCAAAAGGTAATCTAGTCAAGATTGGAGATGTTAAACTAACATCATTATTATATGCAGATGACATTATTCTATTGTCAAAACCCAAGAAGCCTTAGAATAGAAGGGCTACAAAATGCAATTAATGCGTCAACTAAATTTTGTTCCCTGTTACCTACAGAAGGAAAGGTTTAGAACCTGAATTTCAAACGTACCATTAACATTCACTCTCGCAAACTTGAAAACGTTTCTTTTAAATGCAGACAGGCTGCAAGTTAGCTGTTTTGGGCATTTGTTTACTTCCCAAAGTGTTTCTGCTATTCGCGCACTTTACTTAAACATGCGCATGTGCACCGGAAGCGGAAATTTGAGGCCTTGTGAGGGAGAGTCTTTCCGTGCAAGCATTCAAGACTGACATTTCACATCCTTGTATCCATTCTAAGTGGCAAACTATCTGTCAAACTAATGGGTGTGACTGTTGAGACAATAACCGAAGGAGATGGTATAACAAACTTAAGATTTACACTTGAAACACCTTTTTTAAAGCAAATACATTCTGCGTCAGCAGGATAAAATGGTCATCAGACTCATTTAAAGGGGCTCCGTTAAGGGATTTGCAACTTATTATTTTATTTCCAAAATAGGTCTCAAAAGAGCTATAATCGTCAAATATGTCAAATTTGGTAGACCGGCAGTAGATCTGATAAATATTTTGTATACCAATGGTTGGTTCAACTGTTCATTCAAGGCCAAGGGGGCGTATCCAGAATATTTCCTACATGATCAGTCAAGGTCTGTTGTCAAGGATATAACTCGATAGGGTTATTAGAGAACATACATACATAACATACATTTGTTATTGTGGATTAAAAAATCAAAGAACTGTGATAACATATGTATGTTACATGTTTCAAAGGGACAATATACATTGTGCATCATTAGTTTTGTTAAAATGTATACAAGTTCTATTGATATTACTATTGTCTTTATGTATACATGTACTGACCTATAGAAAGATATAACAGTTCATAGTTTGCCAATCATGCATAGTACACCTATGTTATTACAGAAAAAATATGCCTATAACAACTAAAGGTTGTTATTACAGCTTCTCTACATCAGTGGTCATCACTCCTAAGCATTTGCTCAGACATTCATCATGCTTAATTACAATGAATTTTAATTTAGTGTAAGAAATAATGATCAGAGCATGTAATGAGGTTCTGCCCAAGCTTCCCAGTAATTCCCAAGTGTCTCATATAATAAGTTATATTCCTTAAATAACTAAGCCTTGTTATTACAGCTAAGTTTATCCCTTAAAAGCCTCGTCTCATTGATTTACCATGGTTAATGAAACATGTATTAATTTAATTCAGAAATTAGTTATCAAGGCTATGCATTTAGTTTCTGCGCAAAGTTTCCAGAGTTCCCTAGAGCCCACAAAAAATCAAGTTATGTATGATTTATTTTACCAATAACAAACATATGTTATTACAGATTTAGAAAATTTAAGGATTAAAGACTAGACAACTCATGAAAGTATCTGTAATAACACATGCAAGTTATTTTCTGTAATAACCCTGTATACTAGTAGTTATATCCCTGACTGACGATGATGGATATACATGTATGTATGTTCCAAATCAGTGTCGTAACCACAATCCTGCCTCTTTTCCTTGAATGTGACCTATCGAATAAGACCTATCACTGGATTGTACTAACACATGCAACCGTATTTTTTTTTGTAATTTTGATTAAAGGGTAGAAACAATAGATTACTTTCACATTCAGACATATTTCCGCACATTTCAAGTCATAATTAATGCTTGTTATAATGTCACAGTATGATTTGATTGTTAAATTAAAAATGAGTGCTCAACCAGCGTAAGTCTATTCATAAAAAGAAAACTATGCACCTACCATATATATAGGATATGTAAATTGAAATTTTATATGAGAACTTGTGCAAAAATTGAAGATGTACTCACAATTTGACCACAAAATTGGTAAAAAGGTATTTTATGACATGGGTTTCAGCTGTTTTAATGCTTTGAGTGGTATGTCCAGTTTATTGTATAAATTAAGTACAAGATACTTAGTTTGACATGTCTTATCTTTAATTGTAATACCAAATGTTTTGAGAGATGTATTTATGGCTTTTGACTCAGGGCAACACTATTGGTGTTAGGTCTATAAACTAGAACAGAATTTAAAAACTCTCTGTTCTAAGTCGTTCATCTTCATTGATCACAAGTCTGTTAATGTGAGTTTTAACTTTGAACCCTGCTCCGAGGCTGCTCGTGGCAAGTCGTGGTGGACTCTGATCTTAATTTATATATATAAGGATTGTGAGTTTTCCTTCAGAAGGTTGTTGGTTATCTACTGGTTTTCAGGCTTCTTTCAACAAAAACATGTGTACATTTTTGTATCTAAATGCCACGATAAAGCCCAGGTTGCTAAAAATTATATTAAACACAAATAGACAAACATACATTTGGTTATTTGGTATGTAAGATTCATTGTAAGAAGTATATCACTATCACATTATCGAATCATTTACATTTGGTATATGGAATCTGAATCAATGTAAAAAATTTCACATTTCAGAATCATTTATATTTGATATGTGGATTCACTGTTGAGAAATATCACATAGATCATTTACATTTTTGGACGAGGTTTTAATATATATGAATCATTTCTATTTGACAGATTTTTCCTTGCATGAAGATGAAATACATTAACAGTTAACTTTGTGAAAATGTCCTGAAGTAATTAATAATGCTAATTACTGGAAGAACATTTTTTTTATCTTCCAAATTTGTGAATTAATAGTTTTTTTTTTAATTAAGCCTGATTTGAAACAAGCATTTTTATGTTGTAAACCTGTGTTTACTTCTCTAGACGAATTGATCCTTTCTGTGCATCATACATCATTTGTCCTTATGAAAATTAATTACCCATATTACATATTATTTATAATTGACACATATCAGTTCTTCTTTGATTTATTTCACATTTGTTGTTCTTGAGTTATGTCCCTTGGTTGTTTGGCAAATAGCCAAATAAAGCCAAAATTTAAGGATTCTTTATAACAATTTGAGTTGTCTTGACCTTATCTCATTTAAAATTTTGATATGAAAATATGTAGTCAAATACATATTTGACATATATTTGTATACATATTTGTTATAATATGTCACATATCTATGTAATTGTCATTCATTGTATGGCAACCTTTTAGAAATATTAAAACTTGTGTCGTCATTGATTTCATACATTGTACTTAAATTTGTTGATATAAACATATTGTATGATTATCAATTTCTGCCTTCCAGGAGCCACATATCCAAAGAAGGACCAAACTGTAGTGGTTCATTATGTAGGTATGTTTTTGTATCACTAAGAATGATGTGGGGTACAATCTTCTCTTAAATTATGTCAGTTAATTTAGAGTACTTGCTTTGGACATTATTTTTAAGGTAAACTTTAACTGTTGAGCATTTGTTTTTACCAAAATGTATACAGGTGACTGTGTTATGACTTATCTAAATTTCTTGCAACTGGTCATTTCTATTTTATTATACCCCACACAAATTTTTTGCGAAGGGTATAATGTTTTTGACCCGTCTGTCCTTCCGTCTGTCAATCCTGTTTCTTGTCATCACAACTCCTCTGAAACCACACCACAGAATTTCATGAAACTTTGTAGATAATAAGGACATACTATGTAGATGTGCATATCGACAGGAAATTACGATTCAATTTTTTTTCTAGGAGTTACACCCCTTTGAACTTATTTGCTTCAATGTACTACTGCAACAGTTTGTCATAGCAACTCCTCTGAAACCACACCACAGAATTTCATGAAACTTTGTAGATAATAAGGACATACTATGTTGATGTGCATATTGACAGGGAATTACGATTCAATTTTTTTTTCTAGGAGTTGCGCCCCTTTGAACTTATTTGCTTTAATGTTATTATTACTGTACTACTGCAACAGTTTGTCATCGCAACTCCTCTGAAACCACACAACAGAATTTCATGAAACCTTTTTAGATAATAAGGACATACTATGTAGATGTGCATATCGACAGGAAATTACGATTCAATTTTTTTTCTAGGAGTTACGCCCCTCTGAACTTATTTGCTTCAATGTACTTCTGCAACAGTTTGTCATCGCAACTCCTCTGAAACCACACAACAGAATTTCATGAAACTTTGTAGATAATAAGGACATACTATGTAGATGTGCATATTGACAGGAAATTATGATTCAATTTTTTTTCTTACATTTATTTTATTTCTCCAATGTCAATGTGGGGACGTGGGGTACAATGTATGAGAGCGCGCTCACTAAGGTTCTTTAATTTTTAAAAACAGCTTAGTCTCACCTATTGTAAAAAACCTTTAGATTTAACCAAAAATTCTTCAAGTGTAACTCAAGTAAATCTTAAGTGTCACCTGAATCAAGCTTTATCTCATGATAAATATATATGGATTGCATCTGACTTTGTTGGTTTGAGATGAAAAACAGCAATTAAAGCGCTGTTCCTTTACTTTTTGTGTTTTTTACTGTGCATGTAAATTAACACAAAACATTCCAATTGCTGATTTACATAACATGAGACAAAAGTACATTAAATGGATAACAGGGATTACCAAATGTATTGGACAATACACAGATGGGTTTGTCACTATTTTATTGTCCCCAGCGCGACGCATTGCATGCGGCATACAAAGGACATACAAATGTAGAAATACCAGGCATCCGTCCATCAGTGCATCTGTCTGTCAAGTCTTGTTAGCACTCTCATGTGTACAATTCTTGCCAGAATTTTATAAAACTAAATTTATATCATAGGTTTATATCAGCAAAATCTCAGACAAGTTCGAAAAATAATGCTGATAACTCATTTTTAAAAGAGTTACGCCCCTTGAAAATATTAATTATATGGAAAATTTCATTGTTAGCGCTCTTATCATGCTTATGTGTACAATTTTTATACGACCGCAAAAAAATTTTTGTAGTCGTATATTGGTATGACGTTGGCACCGTTGTCGTCGTCGTCCGAAGTTTTCGCACTCTAACTTTAGTTTAAGTGAATGGATCTCAATGAAATTTTACCATAAGGTTCAATACCACAAAAGGAAGGTGAGGATTAATTTTGGGGGTTATGGTACCAACAGTTAAGGAATTAGGGGCCAAAAATAAGCATTTTTGTAACTTCCAGACATAACTTGTGTGTAAGTGTATGGATCTCTCTGACATTGTACCACAAGGTTCCATATCACAAAGGGAATGCTTGGATTGATTTTGGGGGTAATTGCCTCCAAATTTTAGGAATTAGGGGCCAAAAAGGGGCAAAAAACAAGCATTTTTCTAGTTTCATGACAATAACTTGTGTGTAAGTGTATGGATCTCTCTGACATTGTATCACAAGGTTCCATATTACAAAGGGAATGCTGGGATTGATTTTGGGGGTAATTGCCTCCAAATTTTAGGAATTAGGGGCAAAAAACAAGCATTTTTCTAGTTTCATGACAATAACTTGTGTGTAAGTGTATGGATCTTTATGAAATTGTACTACAAGGTTCCATATCACAAAGGGAAAGCTGGAATTGAGTTTGGGGGTAATTGCCCAAAACGTTTAGGAATAAGGGGCCAAAAATAAGCATTTTTCTAGTTTCCAGACAATAACTTGTGTTCAAGTGTATGGATCTCTCTGAATTTGTACTGCAAGGTACCATACCACAAAAGGAAAGCTGGGATTGAGTTTGGGGGTGATGAATCATAAGGGGGTTCAAAAAATTTAGGGGGGGAGGGGATTTTTTTTTCCCTTTTTTTTGCTTTAAAATTTTCCATCTTAAATTGGTTATTTCTGATTTATATATAAAAGCAAATAATAATGATATGGTTTGAATAGGTAAATTAAAAATTTGTAAGTTCTTAGACCACTTTCATTCTGTGTCAGAAACCTATGCTGTGTCAAATATTTAATTACAATCCAAATTCAGTGCTGTATCAAGCTTGAATGTTGTGTCCATACTTGCCCCAACTGTTCAGGGTTCGACCTCTGCGGTCGTATCAAGCTGCGCCCCAGCGGAGCATTTTATTGCCAAATGTTTATCAAAGGTTTATATCAGCAATGTCTCAGACAAATTTAAAAAACCAGTGCTGATGGAAATATTAATTATATGGAGAATTGTATTTTAACAGTACTTATGTGTAAAATTTTTGCCTGATTTTTATCAAAGGTTTATATATATTAGCAATGTCTCGCACAAATTCAAAAATCAGTGCTGATCAAATAATTTTAAAAGAGTTATGTCCCTTGGATATATTAATTATATTGGAAATTGCATTGTATTTTCTCTTCATTGCTCTAAAATATTTGTAAAAAAATTTGAAGAACAAAAAAAGAAAAAAAAGAGTTTTTTATAGTTATTGTCCTTTGATAGATAAAATATGTGCAACGCGGGGAACATTTGAACTCTGTTATTTTATCTTATTTTATTAATACAGGAACATTGACTAATGGAAAAAAGTTTGATTCATCAAGAGACAGAGGATCACCATTTAAGTTTAAACTTGGAAGAGGAGATGTTATAAGAGGTAAGCATTCAGTTTATCATGACTCAGATATTATCATAGATTGGCACATTGCATTTGTGCCAATTTGATTAAATAAATTTTATTTGTGCCATAAATAAATGTTCCCATTGAGCCATTTTAAAAAGACCAGAAAGATCACATTAATTGAGCAATTGCATAGGTTAGTCCGAGGACAATAGACAAGGGGTATATTTTCAATGAGTTTATGTTCAAGTTAAATTTACACGTATAGAAACACTGGAAGAGTTCATACATTTATATGTTTAAGATGGATCTTCTGCATGCTCCAGAAAACCATGGGCAATTTAATAAAATCACTTTGTTCTTCAAAGTATCACATGCACATGTATATTGGGGGCAAAGTTACATGTTTACAGTTACTTTTCAAAGTTATTTACAACTTGTGTTTCACATGTGTTTACATGTACCTATAAATTGGTGCAATGAAAAAAATATCGGCACAACTAAAACACTGATTGGCATATATATATATGACATATGGAAAACATTGACCATAAAAAACATACATTTTATTCACATTTCACAGAAAGGTAAGCCTTAATTCATTATTCTAAATGTATGGACTGTTTTCCCTGAATTCATATGTTCCATGTTAAAATTCTGAAAAACTAGGACCAGTATAGAATAGAAATGCATTTTGTGTACAAAAACATAAAAAAAGTTTTGTTTGATTCTACACATATTCTGGTCAGTTTTTATACGCCCGTTACTGGACGTATTATGGTTTACCGTTGTCCGTCTGTCGTCAACATGTCAGACAATAGCTCAAAAACGCTTTAAACAATTTGCATGAAACTTTGGTGAATTGTTTATATCTATTAAAGTAAGCTCCCTTTTGATTTTTAAAAATTTTAAATCTTATGTTTCCGAGTTATGGGGTTTTATTCATTAAAAAATTGGGATGTTCCAATTTTCAGACAATAACTCAAAAGTGCTTTGAGCAGTTTTCATGAAACTTTGTTGACTGGTTTATATCTATTAAAATAACCTCCCTATAGTTTTTTTTATAAAGTTCTGTTATGACATTGAGGAGTCATGGAACTTTATTCTTTGAAAAAGCGATGGGCGTATCATGCGCTCATGGCTCAGCTTTTTATTTAAAAAATTTCTGGTATGACATTGAGGAGTTTTGGAATTTTATTCGTTGAAAAAGTGATGGGCATATCATGGCGCAGCTCTTTATTGACCTTCCTTTTGAAGGAATCAAAATAATTTAGTTTAACTCCTTGCTCCACTGCGCTCCTCAGGTAAAATATTCAACTAACCACATATCTGTTTGGTATCCCAGTGAAAGAATGATTTTATTGTAATTCAGTATGAAAAAAAAATAGTTAAAAAATGTATGGACCTATAAATTTATTTTAGAATGTTTATACTGTATTTTATGTGAAGATAAAAAATAGGGAGATATGGTATAATTGCCAATGAGACAGTTTGAACATTTGGGTCAATAACTACAAAGCTTTATTTTCAGGAAAATAATTGATAAAGTTCAATCTTCATTTCAAAATGTAAAATTTTGAGTATCATTGGCATTTAATTAAATTGGGTTATCTCCCTTTATAATGTAAATTACCACTTCAAACAAATGTTGTTGCCTTGAACTTAAGCTGTAATGTTATTTATTTTTTTATTGTAGCTTGGGATGAGGGAGTAGCAAAGGTATGTACAAGCACATTTGATTCTCTAGGGTAATCTAGAGGCCTCCTTGTGTGCACTTCTTTTCACATATTTGCTGCTATTCTGAAAGTAGAAAATGTTTTTTTTATAAGAATTTTTTTTTGCTTTGGTGTGTCACTAAAACTTCTTGAAAAAACTATACAAGAAGCTAAAAATCCACCCCATTGGAAAAAAAAACTGTTAGTAAAGTATTTTTTGGATCAAGGAACCGATTGTAAAAGATGCTTTGTTTGACTTGTTTATTAGGGCCCCGCCGAATGGCGGACGCCCTATAGTGATCCGTCTGTCTGTCCGTCCTTAACAAATTGTGTTCGCTCTATATCTAGAGAACAGTTATGATTTCAAAGTTTATACTTGACATATATATTAACCAACACCAGAGGGTGTGTCATAATGTATGTACAACTTCCTACATGAAGGTCAAAGGTCAAGGTCAACAACTTTGGTTTTAGTTGACAACCCCATGTCCTATGGTAAAGATCGTGTCCGCTCTATATCTTGAGAACCGTTATGATTTCAAAGTTTATACTTGATATGTATATAAACCAACACCAGAGGGTGTGTCATAATTTATGTACAAATTCCTAGGTCAAAGGTCAAGGTCAAACACTTTGGTTTTAGTTGACAACCCCATGTCCTATGGTAAAGATCGTGTCTGCTCTATATCTTGAGAACTGTTATGATTTCAAGGTTTATACTTGATATGTATATAAACCAACACCAGAGGGTGTGTCATAATTTATGTACAACTTCTTAGGTCAAAGGTCAAGGTCATTAACTTTGGTTTCAGTTGACAACCCCATGTCCAATGATAAAGATACAAATTTTTTACCACACATTATTCACAGTGGGGCCCACAGAGATGGCTCCCATCTCAATGATATCTAGTTCAATTCTGATATCTATGGTTTATTTCTCCCCTAAAGATCCTCAATTATGAGGTCAAGGATAAATAATTCTCAGTTGTCATATAACACAGAATATTTGAAAACAGTTAAACAAAAGTTCTGGACTTTCCAGGTACTTTGTCAATCTCCATTTTAACTGAAGGGAATTCTGCATAGTCCAGTAGTGCTATTAAATGATTTTAATTAGATTTGATTTGTTTATACCAGAAAGAAGTGTTTAACACCTAAACACAATCAGAATATATTTATTATATTTGTTTTCAGATGAGTGTAGGAGAGGTAGCCAGATTGACTTGTTCTCCTGATTATGCATATGGAAGTAAAGGCTATCCAGGAGTATATCCTTTTTGACAACAAAATATTACCTGTTAATCAGATACTTGAATAGAGGGACAATAATATTTTGCAGGGTTTAATACATGAACTTATAAAAAGTAGTAATGTCTGTGTACTACTGCAGAAGGGAAGATCTCTTGATTTTGACATCAATAAAACTCTACTCAGAAAGTACAAAATAACCATCTAGAGGTCACCATACTGTCTTCAATGAACAATAAAGGCTCATTTGACGAAGTTTTAAGGGTATATAATTCAGAAGCAGGGGCAGATAATAACACGTCTAAATTTAAGGCCCAACTTTGCTAATGACAAGCACCCGAAATTCCTGGAAAATGAGATCAGTAAACTTGAAAATATTCTCAAAACAAAAAACAAACATGTTACATATTTAACTTAGCAAAATCTACTGTGTGGTGCATAAACTTAGAGACACATGCATATGAAGACTGTGATCTTTTTATCTTCAATATTATAAATGCCTTTTACAAGTTCCAATTTATGACAGTAATTCTTATACTATTTTGAAGTATGGCAGGTATAGGTGCAGAACAATGCTGCACTAAGAATACAGTGTAATATAATTTAGCGCAATAAAGGGAAATTGGGCCTCAACTCTCAAGCATATAAATAGATAGGTTTTCTGATTTTAGCTAAACAATTAGCATATGAACTCCATTTTTAGCTCACCGGGGCCCAAAGGGCCCCATGTGAGCTTATGCCATCACTTGGCGTCTGTCGTCTGTTGTCCTCTGTCGTCGTAAACTATTTCAAAAATCTTCTCCTCTAAAAACTACTGGACCAAATACCTTCAAACTTTAATTAAATGTTCCTTATGGTATCTAGTTTATAAATTGTTTCCGAAGTTTTGATCCATCGACAAAAATGGCCGCCATGGCTAAAAATAGAACATAGGGGTCAAATGCAGTTTTTGGCTTATATCTCAAAAACTAAAGCTTTTAGAGCAAATCTGACCTGGCGAAAAATTGTTCAATTGGTCAACATCTATCAGCTCTGAAATTTTCAGACGAATCGAACAACCCATTGTTGGGTTGCTGCCACCGAATTGGTAGTTTTAACAAATTTTGCAGTTTTTTGTTATTATTTTGAATATTATTATAGATATATATAAACTGTAAGCAGCAATAATGTTCAGCAAAGTAAGATCTACAAAAAAGTTAATATGACAATAATTGTCAATTGACCCCTTAAGGAGTTATTGCCCTTTAAAGACAATTTTACACAATTTGTTCATCAAGTTCGCTAACATTTAAAAATCTTCTCCTCTGAAACTACTAGGCCAATTACCTTCAAACTTTAAATAGATGTTCCTTAGGGTATCTTGTTTATAAATTGTATCCGAAGTTTGTATCCATCGACAAACATGGCCGCCATGGCTAAAAATAGAACATAAGGGTCAAATGCAGTTTTTGGCATATATCTCAAAAACTAAATCTTTTAGAGCAAATGTGACATGAGGGTAAAATTGTTTAATTGGCCAAGATCTATCGGCCCTGAAATTTTCAGACGAATCGAACAACCCATTGTTGGGTTGCTGCCACCGAATTGGTAGTTTTAACAAAATTTTGCAGTTTTTTGTTATCATTTTTAATATTACTATATATATATGTAAACTGTAAGCAGCAATAATGTTCAGCAAAGTAAGATCTACAAAAAAGTTAATATGACCAAAATTGCCAATTGACCCCTTAAGGAGTTATTGCCCTTTAAAGACAATTTTAAACAATTTGTTCATCAAGTTTGCTAACATTTAAAAATCTTCTCTGAAATACATGTGAGCGATTCAGGCTCTTGAGAGCCTCTTGTTTTCTTTTGCAATTGATTGTATGCGGCTTCAAGAATGATACATCAAAGTGGTAAAAAAGTATCGACTCTTAAGATTTTTTCCGTATGTAATTGTATGGGCATTAAAATTGTGTACGGCTTTCTATTACCAAAAATTGTATGCTATCACAAAAGTTTATCGCACCTAACCTTCAGTTTTTGGAATTTTACTTAAAAGCCTAATAACTAAGAAACAGTTTGCAAAAAAGCAAAATATCTCTTTCTGTTTGAAAGTTAAATCATTTTTTCAAAAGTCTATAGAAAGTTTGTGTTTTTAGTTGAAATTTGCAAAAAAAACCAAACTGAAATATCTGGAAAAGTAAGTTATGAAAGTCCACTTTTCTTTTCATATTTGAAGATTACATATCAACATTGGCTTTGTGTCAAAATTTCAGATAAAAATAAATGTAAGATCTTTTCCTTTGGTAAACCCTTAAGTTACTCACTGTTCAGACTAATCAGGAATGAATTCGACAATGATTCTTATTTTCTAACACAAAGAGGAAAACAAACAAGAACAGGATGTAAAGATAAACTAGTTTTGTAAGCACTAACAACCTTCTACCGTATATGTCTTAGTAAAAAAACACACAGTTAAAAAGTAAACCAGAAATACACAGTTCAAATGTATCTGTTATAAATTAGACAAAAACAAACCCAGCTAAATAAAAACAAAAACTGCTTTTACATACAATATGTGTACTAAATAAACTCAAGCTGAACGCATCGTCTGAAGTTAATGAATTCATCCCTGATATTAGCCACATTATCTCTGGACAGATTTTCTATGCCAATGTTATAAGTGATGCAGGGAAACATATTACAATGTCCATAGTTAATAGATGCAAAATTAAAAATAATCTTGAGAAGTAGATAGTAAAATAGAAGATAACAATTTGATTTAAATTGTAAATGTTTTAATCAACAAATGTCATGTATGAGACTATGCAAATATTCAAGTTTTAATTTTTCTTAACATTTCATACTATACCACCAAATTCCACTTTAATGTTTGAAGTTGAACTTTTAAACATCATGCATATTTGATCTCATGAAGAATTACCATATACAGGACATGCAGAGAGGAAATGTTTCACATCTTCATATTGCAAAATAGCAACCAATGAATGATTTATTCCAGTTGTCTCTGATATTGATAATCACAGAAACATTACAGTTGATAAAGTGTCTCTTCTTATATTAAGATACAGACATTCATTAATTCCGCATATACTACACCTATCTAGAAAGTCATCTCTGAAAGCCTTAATTTGACTTTAAATTAAGTTGATATGATATATTATCCTTTTGGCCAAATAGTTCTGAATGGAGCAATAAAGTACAACAATGAAAAGTAAATGTAAAATTTGTTTTATAACAATATACACATACATTTTCTTTATATTTATTTACCAGTAAACCAAGTTTTACATGAAAATTTACATGGAATATCTGCTTCTCACTATTGCAATTCACTACAGGAAACCAGTACTACTTCCTTAGAAGGGGAATAACTTTTATCGTCAGCTTAAGAGTCAAATTCAGGCTTATGAAAAGTTTTTCTGGAATTGGCTAGACTATGGTATTGGAATTGATTTCCTAAGTTTAATTTTTTTCAGCAGTTTGTTTCATGAATGTGACATTTGATACTATTTTGAAAGTGAACTTGATATCATATATACAGTAAATTTTGAATGGCAATTCAAATAAAATAATGTTTTGTGATCCCTAAGTATTAATAAGTAAAAATGTAAATTTTATGTAACTTGTCTAAGAACTTTTGGATCAGCCCTCATATGTTCCTAATTAGAGAGTAATCAGCCCGTTTAAGCAGTATAACTTTCAACTGAACTGTTTTTATGTGTTTCATTGTGTATGGTAAATACTATTGATTTCCCATTTATTGCTTTAGTGTAAAATATATTAGCAGTTTTATATTCATGAATTTCATTGAAAAATTGGTAAATAAGTTTAAATTAGCTTCTTGGGAAAGTACAAAAATGTATATGCTTACAGTGAAATACTCCACTGCCTTTACAGTCACTTTCAAGAGGTAGAACAAGGTTAAAGAAAAAAAGGGTGAAATCAATAATAGATTTGTGCCTATCATTTTCATATTTTGGTTCTGCTGTTGCACTTAAAGGTTAAAGAGCATTGAGGAAACTGGCTACTATGAATGTATTGCCGATTTAAGGAGTTACCTCCCATTACCATTGTAATCATTTTAAAGAGTTTTGGATATAGGTTAATATTGCTTCAATAGTAGTAAAATGTATTCCTACATATTAAATTTTAAATGATTTTTTATTATAACTGAGAAAAATCCTGAAACAGAAATCTGTCTTACAACTATGTGACAAAGTACTGAAGAAATTTAAATTTTCTATTAAAAAAATACACAATTACATTGCCATTGTGGTCCATGAAAGATCAGAAATTATCCAGTTTTGCGAAACACTTTTAAAACAAACAAAATAAGAATGAAAGGTGGCTACATTTCACATCTTTTCAAGATCAATCAAGGCTGTCTTTTGTGATATTTTTTTACACAGTTTCATTTATTAGTGTGTGTTTATAATGAACATGAAATTGCATGGTTTGTATTTATCTTTCTAAATAGATGGTTATGGTTAAAGGTTACAAAAAAGATCCTTACTCTCTTTCATTTTTTGAAGAGGTCCAAAACTTTGAAAAAAGTTCAAATTAAATTTTATTTAAAAATGAAAAGAGAATAAAAAAAAGGACAAAAATCCAACAAAAACTATTTAAAGAAAAAATGTTAGGCTTATAAACAATTTCCTACCAATTTACTGCTGATGATTTAAAAAAAAAAGGTACTTATGATTATCTGGTAGATTAGTTCAAAGTATTAATTTTGATCTGTAAAACATAACTTATATGTAAATGTATGTGATACACATGTGTTTACACATGTGTTGAAGGGTTATGATGTTACTAGATATTAAAGCTGTATAACAAAATGTTAAGTATGAATGTACAAATATTCTAATTGAAATTCAACTGAAATGTAACCATTGCCATTGTTACAATCAACAACATTTTGTTCTTTTTTGTATTGAATGGTTAGAACAGCGATAAGAATATGTTAAAATGGGGAAAACTATTTTCCCCCAAGTAAAACTTTTTTCTTTATATTTATGAATTTTTAATGCTATGCTATTTGA